TTTTCCCAAAAGAAGCTACTAGAGTGTGGTAGTATTTAATAAAGAAATGTAAAGAAATGCTTTTTAGTTGCAAACTGTCTCGTGGTGTTTGGTTTTATACAGCTTTTAAGGAACCTTGAACTTTAAAGTGCTTACAAAATATATGTAATTATAAGTATTATTATCATAAAATTGACACAACAGTTGTTAGCATTATTATTAATATGATTAATATTATTAATATAATTTGCAGATTGTAATGTCGTTATCATCTTAACAGTGTAAAATACTGTGATATACACTTATTCTCATATCGCCTCCCCCAAACTGCAACTATTGATTATTTCTATAATCAGTTATTCAACTATTATTCCCTTTTTCAACAAATTGAATGGTTTTCTTATTTTACCCCTCACAAATCTCCCATTTTGCCATGCTCTATATGCCTGTGTGACTGTCTGTTTATCTGTCTGTCTGTGTCTACCTATATACAGTCATATGCAAAAGTTTGGGCGCCCTGGTGAAATTGTATGTCTATCTAAATGAAAATAAGCACACATCCTCTACAGAGAACACACTTCTGTACATTGCAATACACAATTACTGTTTGTTTGCTAAATTGAAAATATTGGGGGAAAAAAAACAAAAAATGTGGCCTGTTATGGCCCATTTTATATTTTATGTTTTATTTTTATATTACGTTAAACTCATGTTAAACAACTTAATAAACTTTAAGTTTATTAAATTTGCAGGAAAAAATGCCATATTTAACTTTGTTCCCTGTAGAGGATGTGTATCAATACATCATGTAATCCACACACACACACACACACAGTCTATGCCGCTTATCCTTCTGGGTCGCAGAGGATGCTGGAGCCTATCCCAGCTGTCATTGGGCAGAAGGCAGGAAACACCCTGGACAGGCTAGAAAATCAACAAAAAATGTAATTTGACAAGGGATGTTCAAACATTTTCACATGACTGTAGACTTTTGTGGAATTGCTTCCGAGTATAGTTCAGTGAACATGGGGCGGCTCCTGTGAGCCTCTATTTTTCAGTGTTGGCACTCCTTAACTCCTCTGTCCTCCAGGTGGAGTGTTTTTCGTCCAGGAGAGCTTTGTCCTGCAGCATGCGTCGGCCATCTTTGAGTGGGTCTTCTGCGTCATCATCATGCTCTTTTATGGCACGTTTGCCTTTGAGTTTGCTGGCATATCCAGCAACACCATGATGGTCTTGGCTGGAGGAGGCAGGTTAGGAAGCTCTAGAGCTGACCATAAAATGGAATCGCTTAGTGGAGCCAGTCAGCACCAGCCTGAGAGCATGTCCATGCTTTAACCTCAGGGAGAGAGAGACAGAGGACAGGCCTGCACCTGCCACTCTCTCTCTGTCTCCACGTCCTCTTCATCAGAGACACATGCACATGTACATCAGGGTGCAGAGGAAGACACTAGACCAGCGAAAGGAAAATCCAAACCGACACTTGATCCTGCATCTCCTGCCCTGAACTGAGTTTTGCCAAGCGACTCTGCTCACGTTTTGCACATTGACATTGTTGAGTGACCAAAATAGTTGTCCCTTCACTTGTCAGTTCTTCCTCAGTGTCGGTCTCTGAAGACCTATAAACAAAGGGGCTGTAAAGCAGTGTTTTTGGGATTGTTTGGACTGGAAGTAGTGTGAAAGCTAGACCTGTTATACAGCGAAGTTGATAGCAATCAGCCACGTCCATGGCTGGACATTGAGATGAATGTTGCTGTGCCAATTCTACACATTTCAAAACAATAAGACCAGAAATGTTTAACCAATGCAAGTTTAAGGACTTCATCTTGGCCTTTTGTATTCATCCAGTGCTGTTTAAGCCACATTGCCTAAACATATGCCTTTTTTGTTTAGATGTTTTGCATTGCGTAGACTGCAGCATTGCATCTTCTGTTCAGGGGGACTATCGTTACCATTGTGCCTTATAAAAGAGGCCAAGAAAAGCTGTCTAATAGACATAAATAATCTATCATTCTGTGTTTATCACACAGTCAAGGAAGCTGTCTGGTAAGTGTTGAGTTCAGTGTGTATTTTTTTACTACAGATGTTATTAAAGAGGTGTCATTGATGCCAACGAAAGGATATTACACTAATGTAAATCATTCAGATATTGTGATATTTTGACCTGGTGTTGGTGTCTTCATGTAAATGTGGTTATATATTTGCACCTCTCTGTTTTAATGGATAGTATTGTGAGAGGTTAGTTGGGAGGTGGTTTTGTGTTTACATCATTGTCAGTCTGTTAAGAAAGGCCCTAAACCAAATCCCTTTTTCTAACAAAAAGATGGATTCAGTTTGCCCGATACCAGTCGTCTTCAGTGAGCCTGACATTCACCCCAGTAGCGAATGATTCGTGCAGGTTGTAGCATCAATATTGATCCCAAGAGCTTGACATGGTTCGTTTTTTTAACATTTATGCACCTTGTATTTGCTTGGTTCATTTTGTCAGCAGCTGTTCCTGTAGCTCGTCAGAACACACAGACTGTTTTGGCTATCGAGAAATGGCTCCCAGAAGGATTAATGCTATACTCGATCTGAGGACGAAAACCTTAAGCTCACAAGAGCCCCCTTGTGACATTCATTTTCAAAGAGCTGAGCTGTTTTGACAGCAGAGTTTGCAGCAGGACTGCAAGTTTATTATTCAAAAGCTATACGTTTCAGATAGATGTACTTTATTATGCTCATACCTGTTTATGTTGGTAGCAGATTAAAGTGACCTTAAAGAAAAAGTCATGAAACCTGTTATACAGTTTCTAGATATGTTCATAGTACAAATTAATAATTTGCTACTCATTATCAAAGGATGCGTGTTTTTCACCCAAAGCCAAGTCTAAAGTCATACATTTAATATATTCCTTTAACATTATGTTCTTATGTGCTTGTTTTGGTCTCTAGTCTCCTCCTCAGGAAATTTTGTTACAACACCAGCTTGGAGTCCGTTCTTTTAATAAATTAGTTGTTTATAAATGGTTGGAAATTGATTGCAAAGAGTATTTGAGTTTTAATTAGTGAGATTTTTGCGATGAGTGAAAGTTTTACAGTGAAATTGAAGTGTATATTCGTCATTATGCCAGCAGGATCTAGGTATTACCCTTAATTTGCAAAAGGTTTAAATAGAGTCTATATGTTCTTTCTTTGATTTATCTGTGATGGCTTTAGAATTGCATTACCTCCAAGATCCTGATTAGGATGGATCTTCTCAGCAAAGGGAGGTGATTTGGAGGATCACCTTTTACCTTGATTTACCAATGATGACTTTTGAGGACATGGCTGGCTATTTGTTAACTCAGTCTAGTCTCGGAGGTATTGCTTAAACTCGGAGTCACAGAACATTCCTATTGAGTAAAGCGTGATAACGCACTCAAAACACACTCAAACCGACAGCAAGTGCAAATGTACGGCCACTGCAAACATACCATGGTATCATCTCACAGGAAAGCCTCCCCTAAGTCAGGGCGGAATAACTAATGTGCTGGCGAGCAAAAAGCACCTTTCTGTGCCTTTATTTTCTTTAAACCAAAGACTGAAATGGTTCCTTGTAGAAATCAAAAGATATGTTTGATTGTAATGTATATTTGCCTTAAGTTGTACAAAAAAAATAAAGCAAATCATATCTGACTATAGTGGAGCTATTTTATCATATACACTCTCATTGTATCCGTCTATTGTAAAAATATAAAACTTATATATCGCTGCTGTCGGAAGAAAACCTTGTATCTCCAAAATGATTTACAGGAGAAAGAAAAAACCTACTTTACTTTTAATGTAAGTCCATGGAACCAGACTTTTTTCCAAGTAATTTTGGGCCGTTTCCTTTGGTCCATTCATCATGAAATTTACGTCCAATGTAAAGAGAAACAGGCATTTTCAAATTATGTCAAAAACTGAAAAATGGAGATACAAGGTTTTCTTCCGACAGCAGCGATATATTAGTGTGTGTTGTGCTGGAACGAGTAGATCAGACACAGCAGTGCTGCTGGAGTTGTTAAACACTGTCCACTCACTGTCCACTCTATTAGACTCTCCTACCTTGTTTGTCCACCTTGTAGATGTAAAATTAGAGACATAAGGAGATAAAATGGACAATGACTGTAGATGCAAAGAGGTGTACTTAATGAAGTGGCCGGTCAGTGTACTCACCAATGTTATCTAACACTCCTGCACATGTTTACCTGCTTTTGAGCTGGCGTACAAATCGATATGATTGAGTTACTTTGAAGAGTGCTTTTATATATTTTGTGTAGGATCCCTGTGTTCATGTACAACATTACAGTTTTGTTTGAATTATTAATGATAAGTCTACACTATGTTTTGAATAATGAATGAGTTAACAAGTGAACTATTTATAACACTATTGAGAAGACACTGAAAATAGGTGTTAGTTTAATAATTAACAGTGTTCATTCAGTTATTCAACTCAACGACATCAGACAGAACACACAATTGTACAAAGACGTAATCAGTAAATGCACATTCCGTCCTGTGAAGTGAAGAATTGAATTTTATTTAATAGAAAGATTTAAACAATATGTCAATCTTTTTTTGGTTTTTTTTGGTTTTACATTTAAAAATAGCCTGAGAATGTTATTTTGGTCAATTTTGATTGGGTGCATATTTTGTTGGATATTATTATGACTAATATCATGATTCATCATGATTTTTAATGGCAGATTCCGATTCGGGTTATTTACAGCCAAATTGGCCAATGACCAAATTTTTTGGCTGCTTTTTATTGGCCTGTGTTTTTAACCTGAAGCTCACACTGACTGAGCAAAATGAACTTGTGAAACACAAGTCTGTGAATCAAGCCTGTTGGATGAATTGCATCCAATCTATAGAATGACTTTCTTATATACAGAGTTACAATTTAAATAACATTGTTGTATCTCCATTTTTTTATATTTTTATCTCAGCCACAATCACTTGATCTATCTGTACTCTTTTAAAACTTTCTAAAAGTTTGAGAAAAGATACCGGAAGCAAAATGAGTTTTTTTTTTTTCAATAGTTTAATTATTCACAATTATTTACATGATCAGATCACAGATTTTTAAGACACAAATTTCTTGGACAGAACTTGTGTGATGAGAACAAGGACGACTGAAGAAGTAGCACCTTTCGGAGAATGCTTGGGCACAGAAAAGAGATAACAGTCCCACTGAGGCTGACCAACACCTCACAGCATCTACACGGTGATGATGATGATGATACACGCACACATACACACACTGGCCTCTGGTGAACGATGTGTTCTTACACCACAGTGGATCTATACATGTAAACAGGCATCATTCACTCATGAGATCAGTCCGGAAGTACCTCCCCTACACTAGTTTCAAAATAACATTAATGCCAAACAGAGGGTATAAAAAGCAAACTTTATAAGCAATAAGGCACACAGATCATTTCTTATGGTGTATGCTTCCTGCAAAGTCTCAGCATTAGAAACAGCCTTTCTAATGCAAAGCTTACAGTGGTCCACCAGTTTATGCCCACTCTTCAAAGCATGGTATTTAGTGATCTATAGATTCATATATTATATTACAAACTGAATTTACAAAAAAGAGAGAAAAGAGAAAAAGAATTAATGCAAAAAAGAAACACTATCAAACTATATAAAGTTCAAAAGAAGCAGTTCTTTTGGGTGCTGCTGATAAATAAAGAGAACACTGAAGACAGCTAGACGTTTACATACTAACTGTAGTAGAATTATAGAGACGATAGCTGAAGGGACTATCACTAATTCATTGAACTGTGATTTGTGGCCATTTGTAACAGGTTATGGTGAAGATCACTGAAATCCTGATTTCAAAAAGTGACCTTTCTACCTGTAAAGTGAAACAGCTGAGAAGTGGGAACTGACTGTAGCACCAAGAGTGAAGTGACTTAAGACTTAAGATATGATTGTATTGAAGAAATGCATCCTTGAAGCTCTGAATTAGAGCTGGTCATTGCCTGCTAAGCACCACCCATAAGGTGAATGCAACCCCACATGGTGGGTTTGTTACAAAGGCAGCCATTGCTAGTCATTAAAAGAAAGCTAAAAATGCTGCAGGATTGTGTGTTCAATTGGAAAATAATATGTGTGAAGAACTAACCCTGACAGACAGATTCCTACATACACAGCATCAGAGGATTTTCATTTGTTTTAGATTATATGTTTCACTCTGGTCTCAGATAAATGTAATAATGTCCAAATGTGCAGATGAAGAATCAGAGAGGGGGGTGGGAGCGGGCGAGATTGGATGAGATTTGAACCCTGCTACATAAAGCTAACATTACCATGCCACAAACGTCATGCTGTCAGGAGTTGTCATGACAGATTTTGTTCAGTAATGTAACAGTGACATGTCACCATTGCTGTTCATTGTTATGACACATGCCATAATGTTTGATGTCATGACAGCTTATATCACATGCTATTTTTTTGTCATACTGACATCAAACATAATAAACTCAAGCACATTAGACAGAACACATTTATTCATGACAATTAACGGTAATGGTAATGTGACACAGTGTTGCAGAACCATAAATTGATGGTCTTGGTTTTGTCTCAGTCTCAACATCATTTTGACTCAGTCCTGTCTCAGTCCTGGGGTAAGATGGACTCCTGGCTCTACATGTATAAACATAAAACATATATAAAATCTGTTCGCTGCTGGTTAAGGATCTAAATGATTTTTCCATGATGGCTTAACTTGGCATTATTTGTTTATTGATGTTCTTTGGATCCAAAACTCAAACATCCCCTGAGGACAGATTGGAATGTTGTTATTATTATGTTTTCATTAAATAATAAAAAATGGATGTATGCTGTTTGGTTCATATACAGTTGACTTTGTGTGGTGATTCTGAATTAGTTTTAGAGAAGAATGGACAGAGAATGAACATATATATATATATATATATCACTGTTGTTGGAAGAAAACCTTGTATCCTCACCTTTTACGTTGTATGTAAATTTCATGATGAATGGGCCAGAAAAAAACAGCACAAAATTGTCTGGTTCTATTGACTTACATTAAAAGTGAAGTATGTTTTTTGGTTCTCCTGCAAAGTTACCACTTTGAAGATATGAGGTTTTCTTTCGAAAAAGTGAGTCTCAGTCTCACTACTCCTAGTCTCGGTCTTGACTTGGATTAGTTTACTATAAAGTCTTAGTCTTCACTCAAACTCGATGTGTCCAGGTCTCGGTCTTGACACAGACTCGCCTCTTATAGTCTTGACTACAACACTACATGACCTGTTATATTCCTGGACATAATCTGTCAAAACAACTCACGACAGCAAATAACACCTGCTGTGACATGTTAATGGCATGGTTATGTCGATGTTATGTAGCAGGGTTCAAGGAAGTGTACCGTTCTCTGTTATTCTGAGTTTTTCTGGTTGTCTTGTGGAAGCATTTCTACTGGCTTGCACAACTTTAATACTTCAGGTCCTTGGGGTCCTCCCAGGAAAACTCAGAGCGGCCGAAGTGGCCGTAGCAGGCAGTGCTCTGGTAAATCGGCCTCTTCAGCTTCAGATCCCTGTGAACAGAAATAATTTAGCACTGTTCAATATTTTATTCCATTTCTCTACACAAAGCAAACTTGCAAGTTTGTGTACAGTGGTGGAAAATAATGTAGTTTATTTTGTCCCTTAAGTGGATTCTTAAACATAAAGGTTGTTAAATGGTTCTTGGCTTGGACGTACAGTTCTAGGAAAAATGTTTATTTGGTATAGAACCTTTACATTATGTGGGAATTTTTAAAAACGTTTAAAAGGTTATTCACACTTGCACACCTCATTTGTAATACAGTTCTTTTTAAGGAACCAAAAGTGTTTTTTCTGTGGCATTACTTCAAAGTACTTGTACTGTCACCTTTATGAAGAGATATTCTTGGGTAGTTCTGGTTTTTGAAACTTTGTTTTCTACTCCACTACTTTTGGACCCTTTTAATACATTCAGAACAATCATTAATAGCAGCCTCTTATATTATCTGTGTATCTTTATGACTTGCTATAGATAATAAAACATGAATCACTGACATATATAAACATCTGATGAACCTTCATTTTTGCTTTCAGTACTTGGGCCAAGTACACTGAATGCATGGTAGCACTTTCTCCAGCAATGCTAAAACCTGTGTTATACATGTGGGCATTTTGTAAAACATGTTGCAAAACCATTTAACGTCTGGACTGATCTTGTTTAACATTGATTTTTAGGCCAAAACGTTCTGATAAAAACTAGTTTTCTCGTGTATTTGAGTCATGAAAAAAACAACAACATGCATGTTTACCTAACAATGACACCAGGCCGGAGGTCAAAGTTCTTGTTGACGATCTGAAGCAGTTCTTTCTCTGTTTTCTCAGAAGAGCCATAGGTGAAGAGTGAGATAGAGAGTGGGTGGGCCACTCCAATTGCATAAGATACCTGAACAACAAGAGAACAAAATACTGCATTTCATTCAAATGTTAAAAGTAGATCATGACCTCTAGCAAGCTCTAAGCCCCCTTTTTAGCAATCACTGTCATGGCTTGATCATGCTTTTTTTCACAGTCTCATGAGTTTTCTGAGTCTTCTCACCTGCACCAGCACTCTCTTGCACAACTTGGCCTTCACCAAAGACTTCGCCACCCAGCGGGCAGCATAAGCTGCAGAGCGGTCCACTTTGGTGTAGTCCTTTCCAGAGAAGGCCCCGCCACCATGAGCACCCCATCCACCATACGTGTCCACAATGATCTTCCTTCCAGTGACTCCAGCATCTCCCTGAGAGACAGAGTGGATGTTTTCGCTATGAGCCTGCTGATGGAGCTAAATCTTGATGGGCTATTAAAGAATTCTGTCAATAGTATGCTTAAATTTCTAAAAAACCAAAAGATAAGCTCACCTGTGGTCCTCCAATGACGAAGCGGCCACTGGGCTGGAGATGGTATACGGTCTTCTCGTCAAGATACTTGGCTGGCACCACAGCCTTGATGACCTTCTCCTTCAGAATCCTCTTCTGCTCTTCCAGCGAGATGAGATCATCATGTTGGACTGAGATGACCACAGTGTGCACACGCAGTGGGACCACAGCTCCATTCTCCTGCTTGTAGTGCACAGTGACCTGCAGGCATGGAGAAGCAGAAGAGGGTGCTTACAGAATCACCTTATTTTAACCATTCCAAGATAGAGTTCTTAGAGTTTAGCAAAGATAGTAGCACCATCTGCACCAATCTGCACCAAAATCTATAAGGACATTTTGTACCAGTTCGGCCACTTGGGGGCCATATACTGCAAATGTTAAACCCTTTGAATGTTCCCAAGTCACCAGTATGAAAATGTCAAGAACTCTAAAATAGCCAGAAGGTTTCAGCTTCCAGAGATGATGCCAGCTTGGGTTGCTGGTATGTTCTAAAGGCTGAAACTGACAAGTGGACGGCAACGTCCAATCAGCTGTGGGGACAGTGGCCCCAAGACGTCACTCTGAGGGTCATTTTTATCCTGTGGCATAAAAAATGCTGCCACCAACATGTCATCTTGTTGGGAATGCACCCATTGCCCAACAGAGTGGTGTAAAGAGCACAACAGCTGATAAGATGTTGAAACACATGGTCAGTTTCATTGAGGACCTGGCAGCCTGGACATTATAGATTTGAGTGGTGTTCCACTGCAAAAACACCTGTTATCTCATTTTTTCTAACCTGTGTTTTTGAGTCTGGACGAAGCCAAGGAATGGTGCCGTCACGGCGGAGTTCAGCCATCTTGGCATTCAGTTTGTGGGCAAGGACAATGGTTAGGGGCATGCACTCCTCTGTCTCATCAGTGGCGTAACCAAACATCAAACCCTGCCAAAGAGGAAGGTGTAGCGTTATTCTCCCATTGCAGTTATGGTTAATTCACATTTTTTTGTTTGATCACTCTTACTTTCGTCTTCTCTGTTGAGTTATTACCTGGTCTCCAGCTCCAATGTCCTCCTCATGCCTGTCAACATGGACACCCTGTGCAATATCAGGAGACTGCTGCTCCAGAGCCACCAACACATTGCAGGTCTTGTAGTCAAAACCTGAAAGCAAAAGTGGGTATGAGACGAAAAAAACAATAAACACTCTAAAAAAATTATTATTTCTATAAATTCTTTTGCCAGTGTTTTTCTACCTTTATCAGAGTTATCATAGCCGATGTGTTTGATGGTGTCCCTCACAACTTTTTGGTAGTCCACATTAGCCCGAGATGTGATCTCACCACACAGAAGCACCATACCGGTCTTACATACAGTCTCTGTTGTTAATGACAATCAATGAAATCAGTAATACATACATATAGAAACTGAGCAGTGTCTATTGCTGTGAATCTAAGCAAGGTAAAGATAAAGGTATCTAATCAAGCCAAGACTAGTGCAGGTCTTCAGTGTTAGCAGTCTGATTATTGGCAACTTTACCTAAAACTTGGTGAGGGTACTAGTCACTGTGTAAGAGATTGTAAACAGATGTAATAAACTACCATGATGAGGAAAGAAAGTTTCAAAATGTATGCTGATGTAGATTATTGATTAACTGTTTCAAATGTCATCTGCAATAATCCCTTTCCATTTTTTCAACATTGTTTTCTGTTTAAAGACACATAAATAGTAAATGAAGAAGTAGCTGATTATGATGAAAATTGTCTGCGTAAAGTGATTATTACATTAGAGCACTAAAGACTTACCACAGGCCACCTTCGCATCAGGGTCCTGCTTCAAATGTGCATCAAGCACAGCATCACTGATCTGGTCGCAAATCTTGTCTGCAGAAAGGAGGAAAAGAATATTTAAATGCAATCAAATTAAATGAATAAAATTAAACAGATAAGAGACACTTTTCCTCCAGAATATTGATTACAAATTTCATTGTAAATTCAGCAAACAGTGCAAATTGATTGAGGAATGAAAACCTGGATTTGTTGGTGGAATCTGGCCATTTAAGGGGATAAAATAAAACACTGTAACCTGTGATAACTGTGAAAAATGGCGACAGAAAAAGAGTGATTGAAATATGAATTCCAATATTAAAGCAAGAACAGTATATTCTTTTTACTATCTTTTATGCCCCAGTTAAATTCCTGAGTCTTTCATGCTATAGGGTTGTAAAATGTTGCTTTTGCCAAACAAAAGTATCCCAGTAAAGAGATGCCACAGGCGAGCGGCACTGCAGGACAATACCCTCTGCTTTCAGCTGCACTCCATCCCACTCTGCACTGAGGCAACAACTTATGTGAGTTACATCAGAAACAACACCATCAATAACAAGCCTCTTTGATCTCGCAGGCCTGCACTTTGGTTTGGTAAAATCAAATGGCAACGCTGCACGGCTGAAACTGAACCAAGAAAAGATGTGTGGATTATTTTATAGATTATGCATTTTCCCCACCACATCAATAACCCTCATTGGTTTAATGTCAAAGCTTGAGTGAGAAAGCGAAGAGTAACATATTAGAGCTCTAATAATAAAAAAAATAGAATTCTAACTTAACGTTCTTTAGACTGAATATAAGAGTGAATGCAATGGACCTTAATCATTTTGGTGAAGAGGTGAAAATATCCCTGTTTAGTAGCAGTAGGCATCAATCAAGTAGCCCCCGGCTTGAAGTGTGCTGGCCTTGCAGCATGAGCCAACAGCAGATAAGAAATGTAAAGTCTGGCAGATTCCCACACAAGAGTGCAAAAACGGCATAAAAATTGTTTTCTCAGTCAACATGTAACAAAAAGTCAATGCCAGGCTCGGTTCTGAGTGGCAGACTCAAGAGCTTTGACTTTCTGGATTTGTGCATTTTGTATTGGCAGTTATGGAGAACGTGCTATTTGTGCATCATGAGAAAACGCTGAAGTATTTTTAGCAGCTCAATAAGACTCTCAGATACTCTTCCCGTAGTGCAATGTAATATAACACCGAGCACTTGTGAGCAAAGCAGTAGTACTCACTGAATGAAATACCAGCTGAATGCACTTTCACTTTAAGCGTGAACCACCTGTGTCGGTCTGCTTCCCAAACCAACCATATGCCACCTCAATCTTCTGCATGACGTGGTTCAGTGCAATTTAATTACAAAGCTTCATCAAAAGTTAGTAGGTGTACAGCTTAAGCACTTTATCCCCCTCATATCTGCCACAGATTTAACCACACGTCTGCCATGCAAGAGGAATCAATCACTGCCATCCTGCCTAGCAGACTCAAACCTCTCAATAAGCACTTGTTGAGGCAAGCAGAGTGCTGTGTCAGCAGCTTGCTGTAGGAACTGCATGTATGGCACTAAACAGGTTAAGAACATACTGAATTTGCAGAAAGATTGTCTACAAAATTCTTCAAATGGGCACATAAAGTCATGACACAAGGTTTTACAGCACTATCTAGAATATAAAAAGAGATATTTATAGGCATTATGTGTACACCAAGTACATTAGAAGCTCAAGCAAAGTAGAAGTGAATACAAAGACTCACCCGGGTGGCCTTCTCCCACTGACTCTGATCGTGAACATGAAGGAGCCATCATCATCAAAGTCATTCATTCCTTCCATATTTGCAAGGCAACTCAGAAATTCACTACAAAAAAAAACGGTCTACAGCGGGCTTCCAACTGCAGCTGAAAGTGGGCCTAGAGTGCAATGTTCTTTATATTCCTCACAGGCTGTGTGTAGGACTCGAAGGGAAGGAGAGACAAAGAGAGAGAGATTTGCAGTCTGATCACTGATTATCAACAGCTCTGTAACCAAACATGCTCCTATATATGGCCCGGAGAAACTCACACTCTAACACACACACACACACACACACACACACACACACTTATGCACACATATACATATGCCTCATGTGAACCAGTGGGGCTGACCATTCCAGGGGGAGTTGTTGGAGGGAGGGGATTCAAAGTTGCAGAAGCACTAGTGTTAACCCCTTGCACTCCAGTAGTGCAGGGTTGAAAGGCTATGGGTATGTGAACATAGTATAGGGAGACCTGACCACTGAAGTTCAGTGTGTCACTCTGGTCTCATGTTATTTACAATGAAGAAAGTGCAAGACACCCTACACATCGAAAATAACTGGATCATATTATAGTATTACATTTAAACGTATTCTCCTTATACAATATTTTGGGTTAAAAATGTGCTTTATAAATAAATACTTACTTACTTACTTGCTTACATATGAATTAAGAGTTTTTGTGCTTTTTACATTTGTGCACACAAGGAACTTTTAGCTGTAATAGAACTGGTTATAAGATATGATGTCAGGTGTCATCAACCACAGGGGGTGGGGTGGACCCTTACAGCTTTTTGTTAATTTCATTGGAGGACTGTGTTAGGCATGTGTGTCTGGCAGAAAGTTCTTGGTTGTGAAATAGAGAAGAGCACCGTAAACTGCTTTTAGTAACAAAAAAGCTTACTAATAGTTTCTGTACACATCATTAAAATGTCCAAGGCTTAAAACTATTGGGCTGTTTAATATCTAGTATGGCAACACTGTTACCAAAACTAAACTTTTGCACAAGCCACATTTAGATAGTTCTTTATTTTTCTTTCAATATGTCAAATTCAGCAAATAAACAGTAATTGTGCTTTAAAATGTGCAGAAGTTTGTTCCCTGTAGAGAATGTGCCAACTTAATTTCACTTAGAAAATCAAAAAAGCTTGTAATTTGGTCAGGGTTACCTAAGCTTTGCACACAACTGCACACAGTGCACAGTCATGGTAACACTGGAGAGGGCAAGCACTATGTTAGGACACGTGGCACAACAGCACGAGGGGCACAATGTATCAGTAGGAAACCGTAGCTTTTGACCTTACCAGTGTTGCATGATTCAAAACACAAACAGAGAATGTGATCATACATATCCCACTATGCACTGCAGCAGACACATAAAGTGAGATAAATAAGGATTGGTCATTTTATCAACTTTCTGTCGCTAATCCACCTGGCATGAGGATAAGGTTCTAACTGTCAGTGTCATCCTACAGGAGAAAAAGGAGAATTTTGTAAGAGATTAGTAGCAGATTTCAGTCAAAAATTGGTCATGATTTCAACTTGGTGTGTGATGTACAACTTTTCATAACAGATTTTATAGTTAATATGCATCCCAGTTGTGTTCTCGTCCTTCCTTTCTAGGAAAACAGGTATGTAACCTGTAATATGAATCGTTAAATCCATTGCTAAATGAGAGCTGAACTCTGCAAGAGTAGCTTTAACTTTGATTATATTACTATGGGAGTCATGCCAGGGTTTGGCCATGTGTCAGATGGTAAGTTCTTACCAACCTCCATGACCCTTTTACGGGATTTATTTTGATAGTGGACAACTTGTAGTAAAATGCAGCGCATTAAAAGATCTCATCTACTCACCGATTAAAGCACAGTGAACTTTGGACAGTGACATGAACTGACACTGCTCTGCTGCTGTGACCCTGGAACGGTACATCGCTGTTTGATTTGGCATCATGTGTATATATAAAACATTCATTTCTGGCACTGAGTAACATAAGAAATGCACAAATAATAAGTGGGTGGAAAACTGGACACGAAAGCAAGAAGTTAATGACTGACAGAAGCAAATTTTTCTACAACAGACAAAATTGCTCCAAGTAGAAAGATAACCATATCAGTGCTTTGGCCTTGCCAATATTTCACTTGCTTAACTGTCAACATGAAGTGTGACCGGTGGAATAGTGAAGTGTCCTGAATGTGCAGTGTCATCACGCTTCCCATGCTGAATTGTGGGTGAAATTTTTTAAATTTGCTGAATTTAGATTTAATGTATCGTCATTTAATTTTATTGCCACAACAGAAAACAAGCATGGGTATTAATGGATTGTTACTGTGTTCTCTGTTGGCTTTATTTATGAAAACGTTCACTTTGTGCTAAACAAATAATCATACTAGATCAGTTCTAAACTGCTGTGTCGCAATTTGGGAATTTGAAAAAAGGGTGACCTCAGCTACGGTCAACTACAGTCCACAAGCGTGATGAGGCTGGAAGATGATACAAAGTGCAACATTTCCTTGAACTCTCACCTGAAGAGATACGGACCCTCAGAAGATGAACTCTGAGGAGGGTTAAACTGCAAGATGAGGCAGGGTGGCCTATTTTAATTACCTGAATTTTTTTCTGGCAATAAAATTGTTTATACTATAAATGCGTAAGAACACTCTTTCTAACTTCTGCATTAGATTCAGTTTCAATTTTCAACTTTTTTTAATGGAGTCAAAATGTTTGGTTTAACAATTCTTTTGGAAATGCTCTTTTCTGGTTTGACAATCCTCACATTAACTGAGATCTTACACATCTCCTCTAGTGTCTTTGATTTGAGAAACAAGTAACAACTCACTCTTCCTACCAATTTTCACATTTACAAATATGCTGTAGCATGCCGTAACGTTTTTCAGAGATATTCCAAGCACAGTTGCAGTTGCTAGGCTATGAAGGACCAAGTTGCTACAGCTGCATGCTGAGACAGACCAGTGCTGCATAGTTAGTTATGGAATATTAAGGCCAGAAGCTCGCCAGTTGTGGAGTAGAATAAATAATGACCTTCCCCTGAATTTGTGTTTGAAAATCTGTTTATTTCTGAACAAATAGCATATCTTCACAATAAATTAATTTTCAGGAACACCCCAGAATTTTGATTTTGAGACATTCAGGGGTCCAAAAGATTAATTAGGGAGTCCTGGACCCCGTAGAGCCCCCTGTATTTCACACCTTGCTTAGAACGGAACATGCTGTTTTGGTTTATGCGCCTTTACGACTGATGTCAATGTACTCTGTTCTTAGTGGATGCCCTGAGTTGCGCCTTAATCAAAAAACAGTTTGAGTTCCTCCTTATAACTTCAGCATGAACGGGTGGAGCCCACTGTGTAGTTTTTATTTATTTATTTATTTATTTATATAATTATTACTTATTTAATTAATGATTCATTTTAAAATGATTTGTTTTGGGTTATTTTTGGCAGCTTGGCTTTCTGTATGAAATGGCGAGTGAACAGTACATGTTTACTTACTGTATCAAAGCAAGGAAAACTGGTTTACCATTAAATGGGCTCTTTAATAATCTTCACAATATGCAACTATTGGTGCACGTTAGAGCAATAATATAGCAGTTTACAGATTTAGTAATTGAAAAATTATTAATAAAATGTAATTCTAAAGCTGAATCTACTGTTCGTGGTCCCTGATGTCACCCTGGTGTCTGATGTCATTGCCGACACAGGTTGAAATAAGAGAACAAATATGCCGGTTGTAAACACTTGTCCCGTCTTTCTGAAGTTCAAGGCTGATTATGACAGTCCTGCACAGTGTGCACATGTTTACCAGCTTAATCCTGCCTGGATCTATGAATGCCTTTATTACTGTTTATCACAAGGTTAAGGCAGTGCACTCTGGACTGGAAGCAGGAGGTAGCCAGGTTTCACCACTGCTCTTCAATTACATAAGATAAAACAAATCTGCCCAATTAAATAAATACAGTAATATCACATTCTCCTGGAGTTCCCCGACTCTTGGCATCATGCTTTGGCAAACACAACAGTCACATTTACTTCCTATTCGCTGTGTCTGTGTGCCCATGTGATAGGCCGCTGAGCAGACAGAGGAGTGTAGCACATCAGCCAATAGCTGACTGCTACTGTGCCCCTCAGGAGGTGGGGCACACATCCTTACTGCTGATAGGATTTTATGCCAAACACACATGGCTTTGGTCATAGGAACCTGTGAAGTGATCCAGCCAGGTTGGGCAGAGGGGCAGGTCCAGTCAGCAGGATGTGCAGCTGGAATACGACATCCATCTTGAACCTGGCTCGAAGACAGAGAAAGATCCATATTACAACAAGAAATGTTTCTTATCTCACCTTCCCTCAGTGATCTGAACTGTGATGACAGAAAAAGCTTGAGAACAGATCTGTTTATTCAGGCTGGTGCATGTTAACTCCTCAGTAAGTAGACATCTCTCAAATAGAGATGTAATATTAAATTAACTTTACTATGTGACGTCATCTGTAACAGATTCAGGTGTCACCGCTGTTGGCAAGATTTTTTCTGATGTCTGATGAAACTATTTATGATCTCTTTTGTAAGTGGCCACCAATTAATGCATTAAGGCCACAAGTTAAGTTTCTTGTGGCGAAGAATTAATAAATTGAGGCTACGTAGCCACTTAACATGTGGCCTCAACTTAAAAATAACCCAATTGATGAGGCTGGGTGGTTTCTCCCCACTGCCTACATCAAAGTAGAGGGTTTAAGGTTAAGCAAGGCAACTGCTGGTGAACTGGGTGAAAGCTGAAAGCAGAAGGCGTCCCGTGATGGCTCGGTGGCCCGCTGGAATGCAGCAGCAGCTGCGGACTGGGGTGGGGTGTCAGTGCTGCCCCCCTCTCAGCACATTCCTCTCTACAGTGGCAAGCAGCAGCCTCCCGATTCTCTGCCCCTGCTCCCCTAAAAATAATAATCAACCCCACAAATGGGCCCTTCCTCATCCTCTAATATTACAGCATCACCTTACACAATCAGTGTCTCATGATCTGTACAGAGTGCACTAAAGAGCACTCATGGACTCGTGCTGTAGAAAAGAACAAAGAATATCAAGGAATGCAAATGCAATATCCCTACAAATCCACTGCTGACTTGAATAAAATTCACTTTAATAAAACAGCTAACACAACTTAAAGCTGCCAAATTGCCACAAGTCTCATATTTGCTATCTTCACACAATGAAACAACTGAATTTAATGTTTTTAGTCCTCAGTAGGTGGAAACTTTGCAACATGGTCATCCAGACCATGCATAACAAACTGATCACAAACTGTTTTTCTTAAGCCTGTCTGACCTGCTCAGTCGTGTCAAAGTGTATTGAAGGCTTTGGGGGTCTCACAGGTTCTATTAGAAGACCACAAATTTAAACAAACTTTTTCACCCCATGTTTAAACATATCAGCTCAGTGGTGCTTGTTAGCAAATCAATGGCAAACCCATTATCACACTGCTCAATGGTAACAGCTCACGCTGGTAACATTTCATCTACTCACATAGTTCCTAATATATATATATATATATATTATATATATATATATATATATATATATATATATATATATATATATATATTAGGAACTATGTATATGTATAACTATGTATATATATATATATATATATATATATATATATATATATATATATATATATATATTTGAAGCTAATATTTTGTTTGAAATAAATTGTACTCTTAGTAATAAAGGCACCTCGAAGGGTTCTTTGAGAGATGTCACAGAAGAACCACTTGTGGTTCCCCAAAACCTATGCTTGTAAATGAGATGTGTGAGTGTGAAGAAGCTTTTAGATGTTTAAAGAACCTTACCTTAAATTTACACGAGAGGGTCCCAGTTAGGGGTGGGCGACATAGCAAAAATATTATATCATGATACTTCCAGACATTTTCATGATACACAATATACATCATGATATTTCATTTTCTGAGATTTAATGTTGGAACAGACAAAATAGAACATGTAGTGCAACATATACAAATTTTAGAAAAAAATTAGAAACCTACTATATTTTTTAGTCTGGTTTTACAAATGAATATATGTGATAAATCAAATTAAACAGGCCTAATTATGCTCACTTTGTAATGAAACATGGTCAGACAGCTTTCTTTAGGTAATAATGATATCCACAATATGCTCATAAAAGCATATCTTGACATACTTTATCATGATTTTAATAAAGTATCATCATATTGCCCACCCCTAGTGCCAATCCCAGTTCACTGGCACCTTCATTTATTAGCAGTGTAGGTATGGTGTTGGATGCAGGATGGACTGTTTTTGACTCAGTAAAGCTATGTATAGTGTAGCCTCTAGAGGGCAGTAACACATTTCACATGTGTGTTTCATTGGTTTTTGCAGAAAGCAACAGTACACCTACATGTAAAGAACCGTGGAATGAAGAAAAGTATACTAAGTAAAAGTGAAAAAGTCTCTGTTTTCAAGACATTTAGCTTATTAAAACCAAAACACTATTGCAGTAGTCTAATAGGCTTTTGCATCACCCAGATTCGATTCTATTGATAATTCATTTTATGCAGATTATATGCCAATAATTAGTGCATGAACAGGCTGGACGCAATTGTTCTAGTGTGACGTTGCCTACTTCTGCAGGTGCCCTAGTGGCCGTCCTGTTGGCAGAATGTAAATCAACTTATTTTTAATTAATACAATCAAGTAAAATACAAACCTTTCCTGTAAAAGTTAGGATACTTTGTAAAATGCAATAAAAACAAGGCAACCAATTGTATTTTATAAATATAAACAATTTTAGAATTTGATTCCTGCAACACACTCAAAAAAGCTTTACCATGGTGTTACATCACCTGTCCTTTTAAACACACTTTTTAATCATTTGGGAACTGAGGATACTAATTGTTGCAGGATTTTTGCCCATTCTTTCTTGACACAAGACTTCAGCTGCTCAACAGTCTGTGGTCATCATTTTCTAATTCTCCTCTTCATGATGCACTATACAGTTTCAATAGGATACAGATCTGGACTGCAGGAAGGCCAGTCAAGTGCACACACACACACATGCACTCTGTATCTTTCGAAGCCACACTGCTGTAGCAGAACGAGGTCTGGTACTGCTGCAGTAACCATGGATGTCCCAAGGAAAGACATCCTCTTGATGGCAGCAAGTGTCTGTCTAAAATCCCAATATACACCTTTGCGTCAGTGCTACTGTTGGGTAATTTACCACAGCATGATCGAAAGAAAAATTTAGAAGTCTGTGAAAAAAACATTTATAATTTCTGTAATGCAATATACCCCAAAACCTAAAAAGAGAAAACCACACATTAAATTTCGAAGTAAAATAGATTATAAAATGTAATAAGAAAAATGTTTTTCTTGATTACAGGAACATGAAAAAGGCAACATAATTATAAGAATGGATAAAACTGGATAAACTAAAGAAAAATAATCTCAACAGGTTTTTTTGTCGGTTACATAAAGATTCAGGAGAATTAACAAATCACAGATTTTTGTTTTTATTGCATTTTAAAAAATGTCCCAACTTTTCCAGAAATGGGGTTTGTATTTTCCCTGCTAACAGATTAACTAGGGCACCATTGGCTCTCTGTGTATGAAACGTTGTGACTATTTTGAGCTGCGAGCAAGCAATGAGGAGTAAAAGAGGAGGGATGTGAGAACCCCCTGCTTCACATTCTCATCTCTCTACAAAGACAGCAGTGCTGATATAAAACAGACGGCACAATTGCAGCTGCATTTTTATAAGACATCACTTATAACTGCTGCAATGAAAATTTTATCACAAAAAATGTTGACATGCTTTCTTAGCTCTCCCAGAAATCACACATTTCCACTTAAATATACTCAGTTAACGATGTTGAAAAAAATGCGTAGTTTAACCTTCACCGTATTTAATGACTACTGTGAAAAAGGGTTAATGTTTTAAACTTCCTCATATCCTACAAACATAAAACCCACTACAGATGCTCATCTATTTCCCCCCATCATCGCGGCAGATCTATGCGCTCTGGACCGCCATCGTCCTGCTCGATGTTTCGGAAATCTATAAGTCGCGCCTGCCTTACAATAACTTTACATAAGACGGGGAGGTTTAGTAGCTGCACGATTCACTGACGAGCGGACTGTGAGTATCTTACATTTTAACGTTATGATAAGATAATGTTTTGATGTAAAAGGTTTTTTTCGTTAACGTTACGCTCTCAGTCCCGTGTTTAGACGGACTGGCTCGGTTATTCACAGTTATTAACTCTAACCCTTAAAACCGGACTTTGCTCGCTAGCCTAGCCGGGTACAGCTTAGCTACAGTCAGTCAATGTGTAACCTGTCAGTTCTCGAAGTGTTTATTCTGCATTACACGTCTGTTTGCAACGTGCTCGTTTTGCTCGGTAACTTCTCAGTTTGGCTGTGTAAACTCGTTAGGTTAGCTGGTTGTAGTAAAATGCCACCTGACCTCCTTCTTCTGCAGTGTCACTGAGCTAAACTGAAAGAACCTGTTTAAACAGGTTTGAAACACAAGTACAACAAGAACACTTCTGGTAAACGTAACTACGAGGCTGACGTCGGATATTTAACGTTATTTGACGTTATTAATTTCTCATAAGAAGCCAACCTCAGCTTGATTATGTAACTTGCACCCGTGTCAGTACAGTTGAAGTGCATGCATTTCCATCACTGTACTCCACTCAGTCTGCAGGGACGCTGCTTGTATCGAATTGTCTCTTCCACCGTAAGTGGTGCAGCATTTACATAAAAAAGGCTAAAAATGCTTCTGGATAGAACCATGAACACTCAGAGAACCCTGTGCATGATTAAAGGGTTCTTTGCATAGTGAAAGCGTTCTTCAGATTGATGGAGAATGTGCTGTAGATCGTTCTATATAGAACCTTTTTGAAAACCTTTATGAAGCACCAAAAAGGGCTCTTGTAACAATATCAAGCTTGTAGCAGTAGAAGAACCTTTCTGGTGCTGAATGTAACCCTTTTCAAAAAAAGGTTCTATATAGAACAATCTACAGCACATGATCATGAAGAACATGAAGAACCCTTTTATGATGCAAATAACCCTTAAATTATGCCAAGGGTTCTTTAAATGTCCATGGCTCTATATAGAGCCATTTTCTTTGCTAAAGAAACCTTGAAGAAACTTCACTTTTAAGTGTGTGGTGTGAGTGTAACTGCTGCACCATTTAAGGTGGAATGGAAAAGTTACATAAAAAGCTGGCAGATAAATGGCCGACGTCAGCCTCGTAGGTACATACTTGATACATTTCCTTTCAGCAGTTACCAAGTAGACACATTCACGCTGTATTTGTGTTTCAAGCCTGTTGTTTAAACAGGTTTTTTTGGTTTAGCTCAGTGACACTGCAGAAGAAAGTCAAGTGGCATGTCAGCGCAGTGAAAATGCATGCACTTCAACACAAAAGCTGCAAGCGCATCCGTGTCTTTCACTTAGTCTTCATGAATGCTGCTTGTATTTAATACTAGCTAATACTATTGGAGTATGTGATCTTATGCTTAGAGGTTATTTTTTCCTTTCCTTTCTAGCACATTCTTCACATATGCTTTTTACCTGATAGAGAAACTAGTGTGGATGCCAACAATGGCCTTTATACAAGTACAGCCCATGCGAATAGCCCTGTTCTTGGGAAGAGGAAACTGTATCTCTCATGTGAATAATGCAGTTAAAACACGGGTGTCTAACTGCGACTCCACTGCAGTGCAGCCTCACTGGCTAGCAGGCCCATCCCTAGATAAGAAACCTCAGTTTTTAATGAACAAACTCCACCCAAAGTGTGAGGCACGTAACTTCTTAAGGTGCCGGCCATGCTTAAAGTCACCAGTGTCCTGTAGTTGTATCAGCATTCGTACATATTCAGCAAATCAACCAGCTTCTGAGAGGGGCAAGAACAGCGAGCCCAACATCCATGAATCAAAAGGTACTGCTCCGGCCTCCTCTACTTGTGTTTGATATAATCCCTAATGTTATAGTCTTAATTAGCAGGTCGGTGTGAGAGGATGTTCAGTTCTTTGCTTGTTAATCAGTTCTTTGAAAAATAAGAAAAAAATTTTTTTTGCCTGTCAGTCAAAGATTAAGTTGGTAGCTGTCCTTTACTGCAGTTTTTCCATATATATGCCATTGTTCCAAGCTTGTAGAAATAAATAATTATGTAACCTTCGGTTTTTCTGTCATCCCACTGCAGCATCACCACCAATCTTGGAGGGCCAGACACTTGCCATGGGCATGTGGTCCCTGGGCCTTGGAGCTGTGGGTGCTGCCATAGCAGGCATAATTCTTGCCAACACAGACTTTTTCCTGACCAAGCCTGAACATGCCACTCTAGAATACCTGGAGGATACTGACCTCAAAACCACTTTTGGAGGTCAGTAAAAATGATGCACACAAGTACCACAGGTAGTTTCTTTATTATTCAGAACATGAGTAGAGCAGCTGTTTTTGATATCAGAAATGGGCAGTTACTCATCGGTTTGGTAAGGTGCAGAAATCAAGAATGCGGTTCTGATTGTTGGATTAGGTTTTGGTTTATTTTACTGATGATTTCCAGTGGTATTCATGCAGATGACAAGACATTTAAAGCTCGAACTCTGTGGGAGAAGTCGGGTGCAGTGATCATGGCCGTACGACGGCCTGGATGATTTTTGTGCAGAGAGGTAATCTTGATGCATTCTTCTGTATTTTAGTTTGGTAAAGATGCACTTGCCTGTTGCTGATTTGACTGGTGGTGTTGTGTCCTTGCAGGAGGCCGCTGAGCTGTCCTCTCTGAAGCCCCAGCTGGACCAGCTTGGGGTCCCTCTGTTCGCTGTTGTCAAAGAGGACGTCAGTACAGAGATTCAGGACTTCAGACCCCACTTTGCTGGGGATGTTTTTCTTGATGAAAAGGTCAGGCAGCCTGTTGTTTGTTCTTGTTTTAACATTTCTATAGAAGCCTATACAATGAAAAATTTTACCAACCTTACATCATCTCATGTTGTTTTGTGGAGAAATGTTTTCTAGGTATTGTAAAGAAAATGCATATACACTAAAATGTTTACTTTTATTTACAGCAAGCTTTCTATGGACCACAACAGAGGAAAATGGGTGGTCTTGGCTTCATTCGTCTAGGAGTTTGGCAGAACTTCATTAGAGCTTGGAAGTCAGGTTACCAGGGAAACATGAATGGCGAGGGCTTCATCCTGGGTGGGGTATTTGTCATAGGATCTGGCAAGCAGGTGACTTTCATTGGACATATAATAAAGTATTATGAACTTTATCCTAGATGATAGCTTTTTCACTGATTTTCATTACCTGAAATGGTTTTAATCATTCATCCTTATGAATTGTTATTGATCTAAATGTTAATTTTGTGCTGTTTATAGGGGGTCCTTCTTGAGCATCGGGAGAAGGAGTTTGGTGACAAAGTCAGCATTGAGTCTGTTTTGGAGGCAGCTAAGAAAATAGTGGTGGAGAAATAGATTAGTTTTTATAATTATTGATGTGGAAAATGTTGTCAAGATAGATCAAAATAGTAACAAATGTTGTAATTTTTAGTTTTCTCAGAAATTAAAGCTTAAGCTACAAGTTAGAACAAACAGAGTAAGTATTTAACACATCACACCTCATTTTCTTTACTAACGCTGTGAATATAAAGGAAAGCTCAGGTTCTGCTAAACTTAGTTGGTACTAAGGAATAATGTTAGGGACTGAAGCACAAAGTGTTGCAGAAATTAACTTCGATTCAGGTGCTTAATAGTTCTTGCTGTTTGCTTCACTAAGTTCTTTTGGCACTTAGAAATGACTTTGCTGTGATTCTTCACTCAGTCAGGTTCTGTTGGCTGTCTGCTGCTGGGCTGGTGACTTGGTTTGTGTGTTTTAATGACATTCTGTCTCAAAACTCAGTAGTGAGAGAGCAGATTTGAAGCTTGACACATTCTTTCCTGCTCACCAATGTTTGGTCAGGAGACAGTCAGCAGTTCTGAATCAGGTGGAGTATGCCATTTGCAATAAAAAACAGCAGACACAAAACTGTTCCTCTGTGTTTTCTTTATATTTGAATTGCCCGTCATGGTCAGATTAGTGCTGCTAAGTCTCATTTAGGTGAAAGTTCTGCACTCTAGGGATTCTTCTGAAGATTTCATTGGGAGAACAAGAAATTCAGTTGTCTGAAAAGATACATAAAGAACAGCATATCTACTATCTAATGAGAGTGAAGAAAGTATGACTGATTTTGGGGGGAAAAAAACAAATTAACCCTGAATATTGTCAGGTTTCCAACCAACATTTAGATAATTAAATAAGATGATGGTGATGGGGTTTAATTAATAAAGTTATCCATCACGTATGTCCCTAACTGAAAAACCATTGTACTGGCTTTGACCTGGAACATTAAATGCTTTTCTTCTCTTGGTCACATCACTGTTTGCTGACTAGCTTCATGCAGCAGGTTTTGACAACAAAAGAAAATCGTAATCATTTGTAGGCACAAATGCACTAATAGTGGCAGATAAAAAAAGCTATCACAGAATTTTTATTAAAAATTTGCAAAATGGCATCCAGTTAAACAGGACTAATCATGATTGTAATGAAACATGAAGTTGGTCAGTGTTATTAAAGTTCTGACGACATCCACATTATGCTTACAGAAGCATATTGTTTATCATAATGATAAAACATCATCATATTGTCCACCTCTAATCTGTTGCGACTTCCTTGGGTGATTTTACGCTACACCCTTGTCAAAAGTTTGGCAGGCTGGCCATTCCTGGGAAAATTATCTACTGTTGCAGGTGCTTTCCATTTGGAGGTTATGGCTCTCACTGTGGTTCAGTCACCATTTTTATACAGACAGATATCCTTAGTTTTTTTTTTCCTTAAAACCTGGTACAGTTTGCAAGGCTGAAAATAAGTGGGGCTTACAGCACATTGTATAGGTCTGACTGTCATCAAGCCTCGTTTTGTTTAGTTAGCTGGCTGTTTCCTTTCTACATGGGGACACAGGATAACTGTTCGTTTAATACATTAAACCAAAGTGCAAGTAAAGAAAAAAACAGTATTTCTTCACTCTGGTTCCTTTTATTTAATATTGAACCATCACTATAAAATTTGTGCTGTCAATTAAGGAACATACTATCCTGTGGTTCAGACTGGAGAATTTCTACAGTATAAATTTCTGTTTACAGATTAATTAGTAAATTCTGTTTTCTAAACTCTAATCAATGAACTTGCATTACACTTTGCTATGTCGCTATCTACCTAACTGCCACAATTTTTATAATAAATATACAGTAATTTTCCCACATTTACTCTGAATAAAAACATCTTTGGGATGGCCTTGTAACACAGGCAAATGCATGTACAGCTCAATGCTACACACAAATACATGAATCTTTTAAAACCTTTATTATATTGTCCTACATAAATACATACAACACAGGTAAGAAAAATGTGAACAGAATACAAAATGGAAAAAAAAACCAAAACAAAAAAGCACAACAAAACATCAAATGAGCACCAGTACGGTTAGAGGATTTACATGTTTTGAAAATGAGAAACTTCTGAAAAACTGCACACAATTGAGTAAAACAAGGTCACCAACACATGCGGAGCGGAACATAAAGGTACATGGCACCAGAACATTCCCTTACACTGTCAGAATAAGATCTCAAACAGCAACTTTTTAGGAGAGAAGAAAGCGAAGAACATGTCTGCATTTCACACTGTTTTGGCCCATCAGTTGCAAAACATCTGCTGACTTTTCAAACCATAGTGATGCAAAGGGCCTAACTACCACCAAGTATAAATAGTCAAATTATAAGCTATTTATCATGATACCAGGTAACTATGGAAGAAAATGATATGACTGCAGAACCATGGGACATACATTCTGCCTTCTAATTCTTTGCTCCTAAATAGATACGTTTGTGATGCAAATGCCAGTTTTGAAATTACATGTTTTAACATGGCAACATCCTTTTGGTCGAGACAATGTTCCACACTGCATGTCAGTCTTGTAGGTGTAGAGGAATACTCATTCAGGGACTATAAGACTCCTGAAGGCCTCCAAACCATAAAAATGTTTCTAGGAGACTAAGCAGGTGATGTTATGGTACTGAAAACGTATGCAAAAACTTTATTAGTCAGTGTAACAGTTGATGGTTTGCTTACTTTAGTACTATAAAGGATAGTGAAGGTAAAGAGTCCCAGAATTTGCTCACTTTAAAACACTCTGTCAGTGTTAAAACTGTAATACTGCACTCAAGTCAAATGTGCATTTTGTAACATAAATGCCATGATTTGCAAGCTCAAGCTGCTATGTGCTTTTCCCATTTAAAACAGCCTTAACAAATGAAACTGTCCTTGTCCCTGTTGTGCATGTAACTATAACCCTAACCTTCTGATTATCTTAACCATCTTCTGATTATTTGTGCGACGTCAGGTTTGCATAATATAGTCTATAATACATTCTGTTTACTAAAAAAAAAAATAATAATAATGTGTGGTGCATCATCAACCCAAGAAGTGAGAACACAAAAATAATTGTGCAGCAACAGGAACTTGTACTGCCTATCTGTGGGCACAAAGAGCACAACATGTTGCTTAATTACATTCCACTTCACTAATCCAATCACACATCTACAGTATGTTTCAAGTGTTAAAGCAAACTGAAACACTGCAGAAATATGTTCAATTCATTCACGGAAACAGCTGACAAAACAAAAACAACACAATGCACATTGTCACCTCACAACAATACTTCTTGAAATGCAGATTTGATCACATTGCTCAAGTTATAACAAATTCCATAGAGAGGTCTTTAGCTGCATTTCAAAAATCTACACGATAGGCTATTAGACTGACTGATCTTTTTGGTACAACACTACAATATTCTTCCAATGACAAGAAATAAATATTTTGTAAATAAATAACATTACCTTATATTTATTATTGCTTATTAAAGCAATAATCAATGAGCCATCTAATTGATGAGCACATGGAGCAACTCTATCTAGGCTGCATCTCTAAACAAATATACATTTCAATACAATATTGTATGTTCATATATATTATATACACATACACACACACACACCTTGTGTAAAGGTCCAATAAGTACAATTTCTATAAAAACATCCAGTCAAAAGACATGAACAGTACTTAATGGTAGTACGTAGTGCTGTTGAGTGATGGGAAATATTACAGCTGTCCAAAGGCCAGCAGTCCAATCTTATACAGTGGACCAGCAATGAAGCTCAGTTCTAATTTTACTGCCAGTAATATGTATGCCAGTGTTATGCAACTGAAACAAAATGGTCAGGAGGGAAAAAACCTAAGGAGCTTACTGTACCTTTAATATTTTCTTCTCTAGCCATCAGACACATTATTTCCTACTGTCTTAGGCCTATACTCAGAACACTAGATGTTTTAATCACTACACAACCACCACTGTTTTCAATGGTACTGGCAACACTATAAACACACTACAGTCTTCACCTAACTTCATTGTAACAGCTGTTAGGCATATGCATCAATCAACTTATTAGTTAGACCACGCATAAGGCTTAGAGCTTAGATACAGACACTGACTTAGCACAGCCTTCAGATATAATCAGCCAGTGAGTTACCTAAATGTTTAGATTTGGATTTTTTTAGCAGAAGAAAGAAAAAAAAATAATAATAATAAAACACAGCTGTACCCACTGGAGTATCTTAATTTATATGAGAAATAGGGGTTAAGTGCACTTTAATGGCACATGCAGGAGTGTAGACAATGAAACCATTTCCACTTGTTAAAATAATCCTATGAGTCAAAACTGATTTTATAAACCATTTTTCGCTCATTAGCTTTGAGGGTGCCCTAATAGATCTGACTGGAACGGAACACAGACGTTTGGCGAAGAATAGTTGCAATAGTTCCAGACAAAAAGTGAAATAAAAATAAATAATGATAAATACAACTCGGGTGAAAAACGTATTTTTGGAAAATATATATAAGGGGTGATTACTCATCAAAGCAGCAGTAATATCAATACACCCTCAACCTCAAAACACTAGCAACCCCACAGTACCACTTCAAACTAGGCAAGTCACTCCACCTACTGTACAGATATACTGAATAAAGATTGCATATTATCTTCAGGGAAAGTATAAGTGATAGAACACACAAATCAAAGCAAAAGGAGACAAAAACAAACAAAAAAAATTTACCCTTCAAGTTGTGCCCACTAAAATCCATTATATCGGAGTGCAGCAGTATGGGCTGGGCAGGAAAGGCCCCTACAGGCCCTTGTTGAAATAAACGGTGGTTGTGTGAGGACTGCTCTGTAGTATACTCTCCTGTAGCTCGGGCTCCAGACTGCTCACTTTCATAGAGCTGCAAACACAGACACTCCATAAGCATCATAACAGCAGAAAAGGGCATCAACCTCATAAAGGAAGAAAACTGTTTATAAGAAGCACAAACCTCTTCTGGGGGAAAAGGGCACAGCACAACGGAGTGGCAAACACCAGACTATGAGACAGAGAAGCACAACATTATACACAAGCGGTCATCAATGCGGTCGTATTGTATATGGTACAGGCGTCACTGGAACTCACCATAATCCAACAAGCCCAACCTGTACTGGTGCGTTAAGCACTGGGAAGCGCTGTGGAGAGAGAAAAGTGAAGCTGTAATGCTGTCATCTTAAATGACTAAGCACTGCATAGCAAAGATCACAGGAATGCCAGAGAAATATTTAATCTTGTGACTTTACCTTCATGAAAGCTTTTTTCTCTAAGGCATTCATGATAACTGGAGGAATAGCTGTAAGAAGAATACAGACAGAAAGTATGTTTCAGAACAAGTATTTAAATGTCTTTTTTAGTGTGCAATTAAAGCCACAGTCAGAGAGTTCAGCATTTACTGGAGATGTAGACATTGCATAATACAGCACTGAATACAAGGACAGGCACTGACAATAATTCTTAATTGTTCGTAAATAATGAAATCTATTATGGTTCAAAATCAGGAAAATGCAGTCATGCTTAGAGAACCAGGACGAGTACCAAGACGGGTTACCATATATTTAATGACACATTCCTGACTACCAATTTACAGGAGGAGGTTCTTAGACAGGTTTACACTTTACAATTTTCACCATGATAATACAATCAGAGATGTAAGCGCAAGTCAAATAATTGTTGGATCGCAAGTTAAAATCTGTGGTCTTTGATGTTTAATGGGACATCATCCATGGCAGCTGATTTACTGTGTCTGTGAACAAAGACCACCTACGATAAAGTTTATCATACAGCAGTGACCATAATTTTAAAATGTGACCTCTGCTATGATGCATTTATAAAAAGCAACTAGTAAAGAGCGGCATGGAATGAAACGCATAGAGAGGAGTGACAGAGAGAGAGAGAGAGAGAGAGAGAGAGAGAGAGAGAGAGAGAGAGACAGAGAGAGAGAGAGAGAGAGAGAGAGAACAAAGATGATACATTAAAACTTTATTGCCCACAAGTTACTCATTAGTTTACATAAATTAGTCTGGTCTGGCCTTCAATTCTGATCTGCCTGACCTGGCATACTGAGGCACCACATAATGGGCTGAAAAATTAGCCTGCTGACTTCAAGCTCACTTTGGACAATGGGGATTTTATGTTGCTCTCCTCTCCTCATGAGTTATTTTCACGTTTTAACAGGTGAAAGTAACTCATGTCTACAACAGGCTTTACTCTGCCAGATCTACCATCCTGCAGAGATCAATTTCAATTCTAATCTAACACACCTGCCTCTAACATTTCACTGGCCACGATGAACTCAATAATGTGGATCAAGTGTTACAGGTCTGGAACAGGTTTGGTCATCACTGATTACAATACTACTATCAAATCATATTCCCTGAGGATTAAAGTATTTTATGGCCTTACCCATGGCTGGCACTGCCATGCCAATTCGGGACACCACCACCTGTGCAATGGCCTGCTGAGCAGCACTGGCAGACTCTCCCAGGCGATTACCCTCCTCATCAGTGACAGGAATACCATATTTCAGTTCTCTGTGAGAAGGCAAAACAGAGAACAATTGAGTATTGACCGTTTGCTTCAGAAAACACACAGTGACTGGCAGCTTAAGGATTAACCCATACCTTTGTCTCATGAAGGGAATGTTGATGCAGTTAGCTGCTGCCACTGCAGCGAATGGAACAAACCGACCCATGATAGCTGGCAGATGCTAGAGATAGATAAATTAATTTTAGTAACACTTCTAATGTGAAACATTTGTGTATACTATACATTTTAATGTAAGACAATTCCATATTTTACTCCCTTCATCTCTCCAACAAAAAAACTCATTCTTCCTGCAATAAGCACCTCTCTTTTCACTGAGCTTTGGACTGATCGCATATATTTCAAGTGCTTCTCAGAAAATTCAGCAATCAACACTCCATGGCATTCACATTAGACAATGTGGATACAGTTCAATCTGTGAATACCAAACAGGCCTACTTACAACACCAAGGGCCGGTTTCATAGACATGAATTGGGTCTAGTCTTGGACAAAACTGCAATGTTAATGGTGTTTCACCATTAATAAAGTCCACTTAGTTCAGCTTTAATCTTAATTTGTGCCTGGGAACAAGCCCTAAATGGATTTGTAGTTATAGCTATAGGCTTTTGCCCAACCTATGAGGAATCAGCTTCAATGCATGCCTGTCCTAATAATGCACCAATCATATTTTACTGAAATAATAGTCTACATCAGCTGAATGGATTTTTGAAATATAATTATGATTGTAGCTTTACTGAAGAAAGTGTGATGGCTGTGAGGACACTACTTAGTGCACTGTGACATGGGGATTCGGGGGGAAAAAATAAATTTAAAAAAATTCACCTTGGTTAGTGACTTGAGGCCAAGAGCAGTGACTACAGCTCCAGTAGTGGCACTGACATAGGCTGCTCCAAGCTGACTGTAAAAGACCAAACAAGTACACATACACACACACACACACACACACACACACACACACACACACACACACACACACACACACACAAAGTTAACAAAGCAAATAATGGAAGTGTAAGGGTGATTACCCTGAACTGAACACTTTAAAACATCAAGTGGACGTCAGTCCCTTACTCAGTTTTTACAATGTACTCTCAAGCAATAAAAAGAGCTTGTTTCTTTTGTCTTTTACTGCTTGGGAGTATCCCCATATTATCCATCAACTAACCACTCAGGATTTTGCAAGATACCAAGACAGTCTGCCTTTCACACCACAGTCAAAAAAGACAAGCATATCATTTTTTTTAAAAAAAAAGTTTTTTCCATATTTTAAAAATGCCAGCTGCTCTTTAAATTGTGTGAAAATGTAACAAGCATTTTGGAAAAGAAATGGTCCAAAATTACTTGGAATAAAATCTTTTAAAATCATTATTATTATTATTATTATGTACCGTCAGGTCGATTGGACTCCTGTTAACCATATGGATATTCTCTTCTGCAGAAGCACTGCTGAACATATGCAATTAACTGGTATGTTTTACATTATATGATTATATGCGTGCTAAAATTACTAACAAGATGCTAAATTGGTAGCAATAGAGTGGACAGCGGTGCTGTTACACCATCTAAGGATCATTTGCTGTAAGGGGTGAGTGAGATAACAATACTGATCTTCATTGTGATAAATTATGCCGCATTACCTCACAATATGCTATCTGTGTATATTGTGGATATTGTCAGCAACTTAAAAAAAACACTGAACCACTGCATGTTTCACTACAAAGAGAGCAGTATTAATTCTGTTTGACTAGTAGTGCAGTATGTAAAACTGCCTTTGAAACACTGAATAAAAATAATTGTATTCATAATTTTTCATAATACTTTTGGTATTACTGGTTATCTTTTGTCTGTTCCAACTTCTTAACCCACAAAAAAAAACAAAACAAAAAAACGCATATTTGCAGTGAGGCTTCTAAGGAGAACCTCATGCTAGAGTGTTTCTGCAAGACATCATAGTCTCCATACTTTACAGTGATTGGTGCATCTCCACTGCGGTTTGTGTAGTTGACGATGGCATTGAAGGACTGGTTGACCCACTGCCAGAACACAACTGCTGGAGTCGTCCTAGAGACATAGGGAGGAGATGCACAAATTAAAATGTTTGAATTTTTAACAGGGAAGCCATAAAGGCGCAAAATGTACACGGAAAGCCAAAACAGCAATTACTCATTCACAAACAACAATGACCTTGACTTCTGTTAAGCGCTCCTTCCATAAGTAAAAAATTTCTGCATGTGAATGTTTTAAGCTGGCATGGTCATCCTTTGCCATCTGCTCACTATTACACAATGCAGCCATTTTATAAATGTGATGAACAAAGAAAGCAGCAGCTAAAATGTTGGTTATTAATCAACGTAGAGTTTACAAACAATTTATAATTACATTATGACTACTATCTAAACCTAAATATGCTTTAAATACAACTCTAAAGACCAAATGTAAGAAAGGTATGGAAAATTAAAAAAAATAAAAATAAAATTATAATAATAATTTATTTAAATACAGGCAAAGCACAGAACACTGCAAACAGAAGGAAGAAGCCCTGACAAAACTTGGATGAGAAGACTTTTCCATGGTGACTCATTTGTGCATGACTCACTGAACCGGGCAGTAACATTTCTGCCAGGCCTGTGAGGACTAATTCCCCTCTTCCTGTCCCGAGCTGTGTGTTTTCAAGTTTTATTCGTTCCTGACTCACCATATGTTATATAGAAAAATAAGATTAACTAACCAACAGCCTGTTACTGAGTGTTGCTGCTTGTAATATAGAAACTGAACGCTGCCGTCTTACCTATAGAATGTGAGCATGCAGCCTGTGATGGTCATGTTCATGGGCACTTGTGCAGACATGCGTCCAATCAGCAGCATTTTCTCGCCTGTGTCTGGGTGGAAGGCAGAGTCATAGACATATTTGGCCCTCCATAATTGATCCTCTGTCAGCCCTGGCTTCACTATACCCTTCCTATGTAGGAGGACAAAGAGAGAAGTTATTTTAGCACCTCAACAGCAGCAGCTCACACAGACTGCTCCTTTCATGCTAGAGTGACAGCCTAGGCAGCTGCCACACAGAGTGCCTTTTATTTGCTCTTTGATACATGGCCGTCTTTAAAAATTAATTTCAGTTTCAGAATCACATTGTATTTCTGTCTATTTCATTTACAGTACATACACTCATTAAAATAATGTAACTTCAAGACAGATGCTAAAGCCTGCAGTCACATTCACACACTACTCTGTTACCAGCTGCATCCTGCATGTACAATACCTCAAGGAAGGACAAACCTAAGAGAACTAGTACAATGAGCTGTCTAAAAAAATCAAATGTACACAATATACAAACCAATTTCTCTGCAAAGAAAAATAATATGTGGCAGCATAATCCTGTCAGTTTCACTTGCCTAATAATGTGGTTATATTTCATGTATAACAGTTACTTATTACATAGGTGATCAGTACAATGTCAGATGGATGGATCAAGTGACCCTTGACATCTCGCTCGATATGCAGAACACAGCAAAACAACAGAAGCAGAACAAATGTTCCCTGCTAGCACACTGACGCCATCTGTAGCCACAATTTTTGGAGTGACTAAGTATAACTAACATAAAATGCTGACCAAAGGGCCCATATAACAGAAAACCAAATGATCCTCACTTTTTTTTTTTAAAGGAGTCTCATATGGACATTGTTGAAGTTTAAAAATGTATCATTCAATACTCTGTCCATACAGCCCAACTATGCTGCAAAAAACAGCCTTTACAAAAATGAAAAAAAAAATGTATATTCATTGTGTCTGATGTCACAAGAACCAACTCACTGAAGTTTTAAGGAGTGTTTCAGCTCTGTGACACAGAATGACACAGAATGCAGAGCAGCCAATCAGAGTTACTTCATCTTATATCAGTCTTAAAGGCACAGTAACAAAAGCAGCCTGTTTAACCCTTCTTTGGAAAATGCCCATGTAAATGTGAATTACTTTTCATGAATCTTTGGTACATAAAACCACATGAACGTATGTGGATCTCACGTGGAAAAAATTAAATACAACAAAAGTGTAGACTACGGGTCCTGGAATTATTTTATGCTAACTGTTTACCTTTTGTCAGATCAGTTTTGCCCTATTGAAAAAGCGGAATATCAATAATGAAAATTTGTAGTTTTTAAATTATGTTTAATTTAAAACATTAATAAAAAAAAACCACTACCTGGCATGTCCTGAATTTTGGTTTATCACTACTTTACTATTAGCACTATTTACTGTTTATCACTACTGTATTATTTTCAATACTACATGTAAACGTGTAGATTCGCTGGTTATTTTGGACAGTAAACAAAATGCCTATAGTTCTATTGTAGATGCTGCTGTCCCTGGTTCCCATCATCACTGTAAAGAAATCTAAGTAGGTAGGTTTCTCTATACAATGCACCACCTCACATTAAACCGCTCTGGACAACTTTGTTTACATCTCGACAATTAAACTGTACAGAAGTTTTGTAAAATTGGTGGAATTCCTCTTTAACCCATGCTGACCTGTAATCCTCCACAATGGATTTAGCTTCGTCCAGGACCTCACTTGATAACAGCACGTTTCTTGGGTCGGTCACCATGAAGAAGTGCTGGGCTCTGCCCATAAATGTACTCTGATCCCATCGTGGTTCCTTAATGTTGATGCTCAGCGGCAAATCTCCAGACATCCTCTTCTATCTTACATTCGAGAAAAAGCATAAGACAGTCATTACAGTCATACTTATAGACACAGGTAAAACACGGATTCAAAAAATAAGCCCATTTCCAGATAGGATGATTATAATGGAACACAGTTTGCCTGTGCTAATCCTCTGCTAAACTGTAAGCCTTTTATCATTTTTATTATTCTGACAGTTCTCTATATTACATAACACACGTGACAGGATTATTCAGCCTCTGCTGCTGGTGAACAAGAGGCCAAGTTTTTTGTTTTTATAATCATGACCTGAGCCCACTCAAATGCAACCAAAATTATATGCCTGACGTTCCACATTTTTAAATGTAAGGACACATCATTTGGTACAGAGCTTTCTTGCGTACATTATAAGGTGTTATGGTGTTTTTAAAATTCAGAGGATAATCGTCTTGCCCACACAGCCCAACAGTCCTTCAACTAGATTAAGCTGCATGTATACAACGTGACAGCAGCCTGATGGAAATGCGTTGTGAGCCTGAGACAGTACAGATAAAGGCGGGAACCTCTACGGGGTTTGGGTATATTTTCAGTTTGGTCACCCTGATAGAGATAACTCCGACTTAGCTGTGTCAGAATAGCAAGAATGATACGACTGGAACTCGCAAAGGAATTTCTGGCTGCCGACGCTAAACAAACAACTTAAAATTTTTCCGCACAAAAAAAACGTGACCGGCGTTGGCTAAGCAAAGAAAGATGTCGAAAGCGTGCGCTACCAGTACGACTAAACAAATTTATGACCACCAGGTGATTAATATACACAATTAGGTGGTCAAAAACCCCACTCGTGAACAGTGCTGCTTCGTTTGACTTCAGGCAATAATACAGCATCAAAGTTAATCGGCCAAAACAATACCTGGCTGTTATTCATTATTTCACCTTCGCAGTCTTGAAACGAAAAGGAGGTGAGGAAATTTAGTGACTTGCTAACATCAGCTAGGTAGCTAGCTACCCTTGTTCGCTCACTAGGCTATTATTTGGCGAAAAGCTACCACCCTTTGCTGTAACCAGCTGGCTAGCTGGCTAACCAGCCACCAAGAAGCTGTAAAGCTAGCGCACAGCTAAGCTGGGGTTCTGTACTCTGTAGGTAACGTTAATGAAAGGAAACGGGGGTTAACAACCGAGTTGCTGTTATCAAATAAATCCATATTAATATTTCTAGCTGTGTGTTGCGGATAGGACCGCTTTTGTTTAAGTTAGCTTGCTAGCTGCTAGCCGTGAGCTAACGTTCACAAATAACATTCCTACCGAACGTTACTAGCCGGCTAACATAGCTAACCTAGCTACTGTAGCTAATAGTAAAACAAAAAAAAACTCCATGATCTCTCTAAACAGATACGGTTTGTTCGAGTCATACATACCTTTATACAAGTCTAAACCAGTAAATACACCTTAGGACAGCTGGAGACTGAGCGACCTCCCGGATAACGATACCGTTTCTCTAGTGTCAGTGTCACTGTCACTGTACGGTCTATCTAGCTTGAAAACCACCTCGTCCAGAAAGTGTCACGAAACGCGGATTTCTGTGGTTTTAAACGGAGAATGAAGGCGTTTGAGCGTAAAGGCGGTGTTGAGGAAGCGCAGGTTTATTGGTGGAGTAGACAGGGCGTGGAGAGATAGCGCAGCCACCATTGGTGCTTTCCTGACTGTTAAAGTTAGAGGCACATCACCGCTAAAGCGGCTGTGAAATCTGCTGAATGTCCAGTAATGCTGCGATAGCTGTGGCTCAGAAAATCATTCTGCCTTCAAGTCCTCATCGGTAGTTCGTGCTTACGACTTCGGAGGTCGTAAAGGCGACTTTATTCGTGTTCAAGTGGTTTTGCTCGGAAACAAAACAGATGCGCTGGGAATGACATGTATAATGTACATTTGTTTTCCTGTCATTAAAGAGAGCCCGTTTATTTTGCGTTACTGTGACACAGTGGAGAGCAGAGGATGCTTATGAGATGATTAATGTGTTTATCCAGAAGCATCACATGACATCTGTTTATATCTGTATTTTCGTGTGTGGCTGCTGAATAACTGAAATGTAACCAATTAATCAGATGCTATCACTGTTTTGAGTTTCCCACAAGTAACGACGGCCCTGGGGTTAGTATGGTGGCGCTCATTAGCGCTCATCTCGTAAATACGGTATTTCTGACACGAATAAAATGCAGCATTAGAAATGACCTTCAACTGAGACAACAGGCTGTTCGTTCGCTTGCTTTGCTTTGTCTTTCCGTCTTTTCGTGATGCACAGCGACAGAGAAATAAAAATGGGATTGTCATAATGTAGTTATTTATTTGATCAACTCTTTTAAACTGTCCTTTAGATATAACTTGAGTTCGGCATCAGGCAACGTTTTATTTAATTTTGTTGTTTCCTACTGTTCTCCACTTATAACCTTGAGTGGTTTTATGTAACAAAAACAGCCATAATTCATTTTTACATGACCATTTCCAACCTCTAGTTGTCCGTTCGCGTTTAACAGACATTTTTTGGTTACTGTGCCTTTAAAACTAATATATGTAAATGATCCTGATTGGCTGCCCTCAAGTCACCATTCAAAAAGCAATTCAGGGTGAATGGGCGGAGCTAAACTGTAAGCTGATTAAGAGGAAAAATGTGTTGGTTTTCATGGCATCACAGAAAAAATGAATTCGAACCGGCTGTTTAGTTTAGATGGCCTGCATAGACTGAGAAGTGAACATGTTTTGAAACTTTATCAGTGTTTACATACTACATCAAACTCTTTTATTAAAAAAAGTGATACAAATTTCAGTTTTCCATGTTGTGGGCTCTCTAAAGGTCAGTTTGCACAGACCTAGACTGAATATCTGGTGATAATTTACATTAAACCGATGCAAACCGAGGCCAGAGGAGTATAATAGCTACTGCTGAAGGAAAAACTCATAACCTAGACTGAACGTGTTCATAACTGCGTGTTTACGTGTCTCTCTAAAATCCACATTTTTTCAGTGATCAGCATTTTATTGCTACTTCAATAGCAGAAACAAGTCGAAAACTTGCATAACCTCGTTAGAGAGATGCAAGATAAGACCAAAACAGAACAGCAAAATATCTGCCCCAAACAGAAGACGGCCCACGCTATTCCAAATGCAGCGACGGTGAGTGAGCAGTAGGGGGCAGTAGAGCGCTACGGAAAAACTGAGTCCGGCGAATAGCAGCAGAACAGCAGGGAAACACAGGGGTTTTGTGTGTGTGATTCATTCATACAGCGCAAACATCAAATGCTAGCCAGCCAGGTGAACTGAAAGAGTATTTGACATCAAGCTATTCTAGACGGGCCACATTATACGAATTCAATTATGTTCAATAAGTCCTGTCTAACTTAAGTTGTGTAAAGAAAAAAAACCTCTGGAGTTTTCAAATGCTGACTAAGACGTTTTAAGCATATGAACATGTGATTAAATTGGATAAGTGGGTTTCACAACATGCATGCTTGTATAATACTCTTATGCTATGAGAGTCGATTGCCATTCTCTTGATCAAATGGGGTTGAAGTGTCACCTCTAAGCCTCTCCAAGTAATCCAATCGTGTTGCCCGAGAGGCGGGCCGGAGGAAGACTAGTATTGCCTTCGCACTCAGGTGAGGTCATTCAGCGCAACATGGAGACAGGTAACGTCGTTCGACTCACTTTTGTTGTGTTTTCAGATGACGAACAAGAACACGTACACATAACCTGTAGACATTTATAGACGTATGTTAGGTATGAGAATGTCCCACCTGTGGCTTCACAACCTGTTGTGTTTGGCTTTTTTGTAGAAACGCTCAGAATGTGTGGAGTTACAACGACGCATTTCTTAACGTCTTCTGGTTTGCAGGAATGCTGCACTTGTTTCTGATTCAGACGAATGGACAGTAGGTTTATTCATTTCAGCTAGTCCAGCTAAAGTGTTGCGGTTTTGCTTTGTCTGAGCTGAAGAGCCTCGTTGGCCCGCTGGAAGACTCCAAAAGGAGTTGGCCTTAGTTTCCAAACATGGTCAGTTGCTGGCTTCAGGCAGCCTGTGAGCCGCGCGCTGTCCATGGTGCTGATGGCAACGTCATGGATCTGTATGGGTTAACATCAGTGGAGTATGTAAAGGCCTAGTCATTACCAAAATATTGAAATAGTCTCTAAGGCTAAGCAGTTATGCCTTCATTCCAGGTGAATTCTGCACCGTGGCAGTTCACTTTCTAGAATGTATTGATCACTCAGATCACTTTACCTCCCTTGGGAAATCATAGTCATTGTGCCCGTTCCTCTCTGCTCGCCCTCTCTTCGTCGTCTTTGTTTATCAGTGGGTGAAGGTATCACACCATGGCTTGGAAGAGGTGGATAAGTGATAGCTCTAGTCAAGTTAACAAAGTTTGTGAACAGCAAAGGGGTGCTAGAGCCCCAGGCCCTTACCTAGCCAGTGGGAGTCCCTCTTCTGGACAGGAAGGCCAGAAGCAGCACGAGAAGAGACCATCCTAACTTCCCCAACACACATCTTCCGCAAAGGTTTCTTGGAACCAATTTTTAAAATTCTTTTATTCTGTGGGTGTACATACACTCACATCTTATTGGATAACATGCTTGGTGAGGAGCCACTGTGAATCTAAAGAAAGCAATGCTGGACCCATTACAGTCCTGTTCTCCTGTGCCATTGGAACAGTTTATTTTAGCACTATCCATGCTGGGTGGAGTCTTCTTCCTGTGACTGGCACTGACCTACCCTACTCTAGTCCAGCCAGTCTCCTTCCTTGCTGAACCCCAACCCTGAATGAGGGTTCAGAAGGGGTACCCCATCTTGCAATGGCTCATTCCTCTGATGAGGCTCGCAGAGAGATGACGAACGGGGCCCATCCCAGCACCCAACCAGGCGGCTCCGGAACCTACAATTTGCCACGATACCTGCATAAGAAGCGGCAGAAAGGAGTGAGATCTTCCTCCCCAATGGGTAGAGTCATCCTCATCAATGCACCCGTGGATGGTGAGTTTACAGTACAATCATTGGTGATCTGATCAGTGGGGGTCTTATGTGCCCCAATGCAAAAAAATATAATAGGCCCCCACAAATGAAAATGACCCTCAGTAAATTAAATAAATTAAAATTTGATAGTTTACTCACTATTGCTATGTCTCTACTAAGTTGGTGCTCTAATATAGGCTAATGGTTGAAATATGTTATTAAGTAGTGATGCACCAATCTAAGTTTTTTTCTTGATACTGATCCTGACATCTGAACTCACAGTATTGGTTGATACCAAGTACTGATTCAATACCAGTACTCTGTTTAAGGCTCTCATTTTTCTTAGTGGAGTACAAAGTACAAAGTATGTGAACAGTAGGTGATATCAGGTGATAGTTGATAGGCAGTAATTAATTAGGTTGTGCAGATTTTTAATATTGTTCTACAATTTTATAGTGACCTTGACTAAGAAACAGTATCAAATGTGGATTAGTCACATCCGACTGATATCCAATCCTTTTAATCCGTTTTAAGGTTAGTATCATGTCGGAACTGATCCAGTATATCAGATTTGTGTGTTATTAAGTTGTCGTAGCTACCCATGAGTCATGGCTGTGAAATTGCATGAAAACTAATATAAGGGGTATAGGTGTACCAGGCCCTGACTGTGATTACCACTGGTTGACATTTGAGTTTTAATGTTACAGATGCTTGCAAATGTGATGTGAAAGTGCTGTTTATAAAGACTCATATTTGGGGTAAATAATATAGTATAATGTAAAGTTGCCTAGTCTGTTGAGTTTTAAGAGTGAGCTGTGTTTGTGTTTGGTGGTGTCGGGCTGCAGGTGGAGATGACAGTGAAGACATTCACACAATCACTGTGGACAAGAGTGAGGATGGCAGGCTGGGCTTCAGTGTGCGTGGAGGCTCTGAGCACGGCCTTGGCATCTTTGTCAGCAAGGTGGAGGACAACAGCTCTGCAGGTATATGCAGCTACTCTGTATTATAGGGATGCTACTTCTGTGTCATCATACCAGGCATAGGCAAATATTTCTGTTGCTTTCATGGACTATTTATATAAATAACAACCAGTTAAGAGGTTCAAGATGTGTCCAGAGTCATGAACAGAGCTGGGATCCTAAATTCATGATGAATGAAACTAAAATAAAATGAATATCCAGAATGCCTCATATTTGAAATGTGATGATCAAATCTTAAAGTTATTGTTAAATAAAATAACAAATATTATTAATATAACAGATGATTTTAAACTTGAATGGTCCTGTATCTTACTTTCTTGTAATAAAATTTGTGATCTTCAGATGAATTCAATCTATGCACGTAGTGAACAACAGAGTGCAATTTCTGTTGAAGTTGTCTTGCTCTTGAGCCTGTTCCATAATATACAGTGGTTCTGTAATGCTCTGTATGTATGCCACAGAGTTTGCGGGGTTGTGTGTTGGGGATAAGCTGGTGGAGGTGAATGGGATCAGTCTGGAGAGCATCACAATGAGCAGTGCTGTGAAGGTCCTGACTGGGAACAACCGCCTGCGAATGGTCGTCAGACGTGTGGGGAAAGTTCCTGGTATCCGCTACTCCAAAGAGAAGACCACTTGGTAATATATATTCTCAACATGTAATTTGACCGAGGGTGTTAAATTTATGTAGAGGTCAAATTACCCCTTGTGTGGTGTTGGGGTCTGTGGGACCCATTTTCAGTGTTTACCAAAAGAAAAATGATGTGATTTATTAATATTTCAACCTCAGATTCCTTGGCCTTTGCTCATATTTTGTGAAGAACATATAAAATACCACATTTTCGATGATTTCACACTGTACACCCCCTACACATTTATATTACACATGTGGTGTTGAGGTGAACCTGCAGGGAATAAAAGTGTGAAGGTACTTTGTCCCTTCACTCTGTTCTCCTCCTACACGGCCTGCTGTTAGTGTGTGTATGTGTCTGTGTATGTATGTGTTTGTATATGTGTGTATGTGTGTGTGTGTGTGTGTGTGTGTGAGGGTGGACAACATGGACAGTCTGCTGACTGGCTACAGCTGCAAAAGGAGAACCCTTCGCTGGCCACTTGAGATATTTTAAACATCTGGTATTTTTACATAAATTGTTGTGGCTGTATCAATTTAAAAAATAATAATGCGGTGGGTCCACCAGACCACGGAGTAACAAAACACCACACAAAGGTTACATCTGCAGATTTTAAAGGACAATTTCTATTTATTTGCTGAATCGAACATGTTGGAAAAAAACATAAAATATAAAATGTGCCATGACCTTTGAACATTTTATGTTTTTTTTTTCCCCCAATATGTTTAATTCAGCAAATAAATAGTAATTGTGCATTAAAATTTGCAGAAGTGTCTTCTCTGTAAAGGAAAACTTATATTTGTATGTAAGCAGAGTTGATGCTGAATTGTCATATTTAATTAAGGTAACTGAATGAAAAAGATAAGCAGAAGACAGTGACGGGCTGCTGCTCTGACTCTGTCGCCGTCCTCTCTCTTTCATGCCCAGCAGGGTGGAAACCCACTGACTCTTGGCCTTTCCTTGTTATCTTTCCCTCCAGCTACTCTTTCACTGTGGAGTGGTGGTAGAGTTACCCCAGTGGTCTTTACAGCCATTTCATTAATTGGTAATACACTGGGCAGATGTATTAGAGCATGTCCCTGATCATGTTGGAACATGTGCATATGCACTGCACGTGTATAATAGTTTAGTAGTCCCTTTGAGTGTAAACACATGTGTATGCATGTCTGAGTTAACAATGACATTGGTTTTAATAGATGATGAAGTTTGAGCTGTGTGATTTGTAATCATATACTTGTGTGTAGGGTGGATCTGATCCATCGGAGGATGGTGGTGGAGGAGAGTGGTCGTACTCCCTCGGAGGCCAGCTCGGACGGGGCATTGCGCAGGATAGTGCACCTCTATACCACTTCGGATGATTATTGCCTGGGTTTCAACATCCGTGGGGGCAAGGAGTTTGGTCTGGGCATCTACGTCTCAAAGTATGGGCCACAGGGAAATAGCTATGGCTTAATTTAAATTCTAAGTCTGTCTAAAATAAAAACTTTGTTTTGTTTGTTTTGTTAATGAGGTTGGACCCTGGTGGCTTGGCAGAACAAAATGGAATTAAAATGGGAGACCAGATTCTGGCAGCCAATGGAGTGAGCTTTGAGGATATTACACACAGCAATGCTGTGGAGGTCCTGAAGAGTCACACCCATGTCATGCTCACTATTAAGGTAAGAGCTTTCCTTTTTGGGATCAATTGTACAGCATGGCAGAATCGTAAAAGGATCCATCACTATCTTTCACTGGATTTAATGTAATTTAGGTTGTGAACACCTTCCAGACAGAGAATATTGACATTATTTATGGCTAAGACAGATGTTCATAAGATCACTTCTCTGTTGGAAACTCAGTCTTGCATTATAATGAATGACAGAGACAAATTACAAACAATCAAGAGGCTGCATGATTAAAAGGCACCGTCTAAAGTGCCTATTTTGGTGAATATCAGTGTAAACCCTTTCCAAAGGCATAACCAGTCTGTCAAAAGATTGGGGACACCTTGACTTCTTTTCACTCCTGTGTTCAGTCTGTCCTACCTCTGGTCATCAAAAAGGTGAGTTAGGCCTTCTAGCTCAAACAGAAACTGCTCAGATCAAGTCTCTCATACTGCATATTTTGAAGGTGTGCTCTGAACTATCAAACTGCTGTTAAAAGCACATATTGAAAATCTTTAGGCACACAAGTGGTTTAAACACCTGAAAGGCTTCAGTGCTGATGAGTGCTAACAACACAAACTGAAAAAATGTGTAGGGGTTGGCATTATTCCCAAAATACTGTCCCAAATAATGTTACAAATATTTACACTTGTTTTTCTCAAAATAAACATGGTTAATCTTTAGTAGGTCAAGTTATGCAAACCAATAAATAAAACATGCTCATAAATAGGCTCTGAATTAAAACACAACCTAATTGAGGACTGGATTCAAAAGCCCCAGATGCACTATGTCTTTTATTTACTTGTGCCTGATTTCCCATTTAAAAAATGTTATCCATAATAGGAAAATCAGGAAAAATGATTCCTGACTGATAGAGTTAATCGAGCTCAAATATCTACATTGAGGATGTGGTTGAATGCTCTTTAAAAAAAAAAAAAGCTGCACAAAATGTGGTGGTGGGATGGGATGGGAATGGGTTGTTGGGAGGGTGAGAAGGTGGACGAAGACTTTACGTCATATTTGATATTCCTCTGTTCATCCTCTGTGTTAATTTCAATTAATAATAAATTCCATAAATTCCCCCCCAAAAAATAAATGCTCATTTGTATTGAAGCATTTTGAAAAGCTAGATTTTCCCAAACTTTTGACAAGCAGTGCAGATGATTTATCTTAGTGCTGAGACACATTAACTATTGTACCGTGTGTTAAACAACACAGCTCCTTATTGAGCGCAGCAGTGAGACAGAATAGTAAAGCAGACAGCTGGCATTTAGTCGTCACATTCCTGCTTGCTCACTTTACTCAGGGGGGGCTCGGGTTCCGCCTGTGAAAAACAGCCAGGGGACGTGCATTATTCACCAGGCCACGGGGATCAGGTTATAATCAGCAGAAAGCATCTTTTTTATGGCCTTTCCTTGGCCTGTTTCAACTCTGTGGTGCAGTGCTGAATCAAGCCCCCGGTGGTGCTGTAAGCAGGTTAATGCTTGCCAAATGCTGGCTATTCCCGCTGTTGATGGTGGAGGCATTCTTCTGGTGACTTTCTCCTGCCCCCACCCTGCCCTCCCCCAGATGGCTTTCTTGAGTAGAGCGCAGCCAGCTAATCAATGAAGAAAGAGGGCACACGGCCCAGCACGACAAGAACCAAATTAGGAGGAAAATTATATGAGGGATGATTAAGATCTGGGATGTTCAAAGCACTTCTTGAATCTTTAGATGATGTCCATGTGCAGCCCATGGAAAATTCCATAGCACTCCTTACGACGGCACTCTGCTCTTACACATCACTTTTACTCAGACAGGCATGGCTGCTACCTAGGACAACAATAGACCTTAATATATAGAGCATGTGGTTATGTGGAATATTAGAGCTAATGAAATGTCCTGAGATATCAGGCAAAATGTCTCAGTGGTTTGAGACTCATATTCCTTCTATGGTTGACCTTTGAAAACTGTGTCTTTTTTGTTTTATTTTTTTAGGGTTGTTTAGTCTTTTTATACTTTTGTACTTCGTACACAGTTGCCTGCAGTTGTGGTTGAAAAATTAGTTGTTTTTTTCACTGTTTTTGTTCTGTTAAAACAGGAGGCTGGGAGGTATCCTGCATATAAGGAGATGGTAGCAGAGTACAGCTGGCTCAATAAATGTATGTAAACATCCCCACAAACACCATTAATTTATTCATTCATTCATTAATTACAAAACAGCCATGTGCCTCTGGCGCTCATTTTTGACAGTGAGCTTTCTGTGCATTTCATATGAGCAGGATTTCAAACAAATATGTATAATTGCATGTCAGGGTGCATGATTGCATGAGTGCATACTGGCAGTGTGTCCACAGAGATTAAGAGGAGGGCACTGGCACTGAGTGACCTCGTGTCAAGCTCCGGTTTCTCACAGTACTCAAAGTCCTTACTTTCCATTTAATGTGTGCTAGTCTGAAAATAGCCTCGGATTAGAGTGTTAGGTCCAAATTCAGTGAGTAATGTGGGATTGTGCGTGTTTCTCACGTCAGGGTTGTTGGAGTATTTAGGTTACATGACATTTTGTGCCTCTTGTATATTTGGGATTGTCTTATTCTCTTCTGCGCTCAAGATTGTTGAGATTAACAAGGGTGTTCCCACTGCATTCAGTCCTGCATTCGATTTTACTTAATGCTTGGATCTATATTGAGAACATGACTCTTTGTCCAGTGCTTTATATTTGTACTTTATTTATCTTTATTTGTACTTTATTTGTATTTGATCCATATGCTGTAGTAGTAAAGAAACTAAAAATACAAATTAGGAGAACTTCATCAATAATTTCACAAAAGGATTTTAGCACAACATTAAACTGATAGTAGAGTCTTTGCGTGGGGAAAGCCTGGAGAAGAATTCCAACTAGACACCAGACTGAACTAAGGCTACTGTTAAGCACAAAGGTGGAAACATCAAAGTATGCAGCTGTTTTTCTTACGGTGGTTTTGGTGAGCTGGTGTTTGTTGATGAGATCATGAACTCAGAAGTGTGCTGCTCAGTCGATAATGATCAGAAACACGGTTTGAAGGTAAATGTAGTTAAAGTGTAAATTGGAAAGGAGAGAAAGTTTTGAAATATTTAGTGAAGCAAAAGTTGTTACATATTTTATCAATTTATTATTTACTTCACTGTGCTAGACCATAAACATTTTAGTCCAACTTGAATACAATAGGACAAGGCTAGTTTTGTTTAAGTCCAACACTTGCTTGACCAAATTCTCTCTCTCTCTCTCTCTCTCTCTCTCTCTCTCTCTCTCTCTCTCCTGCTCTCTCTCTTTCATGACCCACCACCCCTTTTTTCAGTGGCTAATGGAGGCCAGCCATCCTCCTCTCAGGGTTCAGACTCCTACTCCTCCACCTCCTCTCTCTCCTCTGGTACGCCAGTCAGCTCCCTCAGTGGCCTGTCTCAGGTCATGTTCCCACCTGCATTCAACTCCGAGATGGTGGACGTTTGTATCGCAACTGAGGATCAGTCAGGCAGGCTCGGCTCTGATCGGACTGAGACCGCCATCCAGACTGACCCTTTGGAGCCTGACGCATCACCCCGACCTGGCAGGGTCATCTCAATGGACACCAGTCGAACAGTGGGTGAAACAGTCCTGTTAAAAGACACGGTGATCCGGACTGCGAGTTTTGATAAGAGCGGCCGGGCTCGGACAAGGACGTTTTCTGCAGGGGACAAGGAGGTTTTGGACTCTCCAAAAACTGCAGTGCTGATGGCTCTCAGCAAGCCCCGCAAACCCATCCGCCGATCACAGAGTCACATCACGGTCTCAGGTACAGCATTTTAAAAGAAATAGTTTCAAAAGAAAAAGGCAGTTTAAAAGTAAATTGTGCAATGGAGAGGAACATGGAGGAGTATAAAATAGCAAGTACTATGTTATTTACTGCATTGTATAAAGTTTACTTCTGATGAAGTTCAACTCTTATTGAGGGTCTTAGAGTCCTCTCTTGAACACCGTCTGACAAAGACAAAGAGCAGTAATTACAGTACCATAATAATGGCAAAAACCACCTTTCATTTATTTAATTTCCAGACAAAATGGCTGGTAATGCAAGTCATTCATTTTTAGGAGAATTTTCCGAGTAATCCACTTGCATAAAGAAAGGGGAAGGTCAAAGGAAAGCAAGTCAAGTTTCCAAATTGGACTTCAAAAATTATTGAAAGATATAGAGAAAATGGGATCCTGGCAACCAATCAAGACCTGCTAGACAACCAAACTGCAACCAGCAGATTAACAGTACTCAAAGCATTAATGTTCAAGAGATAGGAGAAAATCAAGCTCCACTCTTGCTTCAGACCTAAAACCTAAGACCTGTGTTTCTGTGCAAAAACAATTCAATGCAAAGAGTTGAGACACTTAATATTGAAAAGGATATATTACATCCAATTGTGGAGGCTTCAGTGTGATTTTCTGTTAAATATATATTTTCTGATCTTTTTCCTGATGCTAAAAAATTACTAATTTGTACTAATGGCCATTATGACTGGAAATTAAATAAATGAAAGGTCTCTGACTTTTGCATAGTACTGAACACCAACAGTGAAACTGAGAAAAACAGCTTCAGTGTGTTACAGCAGTTTTTTTTTACTCTGTTTACTTCAAAATGGAGCATAATTAACCCAAGAACATTTGTCACAAGACAAAGCTTGCCCCCATACCCATGATTTCGGTTATAAATTAATTTTGACCAAAACTGCAGTTACTGCATTGTGCCTTTCTGTGGCAGAATAACACTCAAACAGGTATTCTCTTCTTGGTTAATTGAAGGAGGATGCATGTAATACATTTGAGTACTATCAATGTCATCACACACATATCAGTTTATGAGAGTCGTTGGCCTACTAGGTAGTATTTGGGTGCTGCCCTGAATGTTTTGTCAAGTGGCCTACAAACAGCCATGGTAATCTCTTGCAGGGCAAGGTTGTCATGTGCAGGGCATTGTTAAAAAAATTAAGGTTTAACCATTTTAGAGTTATTCAGTCAGCCTCTGCAGGGAAGTCCTTATTAGTTTCAAGACAATAGGGATGGTTCTACTTAGCACTAAACCTTAAGACAAAAGTGGAAGCTTTTATATCATGTTTTTTTCCTTCACAAATCATACATGCCTTATTTCAGCGTCTGATGAGTGAAAGAAGTGGAAGGACAGGGAGGTCAGATCCAGCAGGTCTTTGACATTTACGCTTATTACTCTGCTGCGTAATGGAATTTGAATTTATGACCTTATGGAAATGCTTCTGAGGTGGTTTACGTTGCCCCAGATCACACTGCTTTGCAAATTCTTTTAATATTATTGTTGTCATTGCTGTGTGGCTAGAACAACTGAGAAAAATGGTTTTCCTTTTAAACCCCACAAGCTAAAAACCACTTCCACAAACTTGATGTGCTGCAATGGCTTCTGTATGTCGCTGTTGGAACAAAATCTTGTATCTCCATTTTTCCATTCTCAAATTTTATGACAAATTGACCAACACTGAAGGAAAGAATGTTGTTGCTTCTCCTGTAAAGTTACTTTTTGACCAGATTTTGTTCTGACAATTAAATGTAAATTTGCCTTGTGTTGTGCATAATACATCAAAATTACTGGGTGGGATTTCCCTATGGAAGATAAACACTGAGAGGAGAGAATGTGGCACTATGAGTAATGAATCTTCAGTATGAACTGAATGATGCATATGTCATCCAGCTCTATTTTCCAGCCTCGGCACCTCATGCTGCGAGGATGAATGACTGCTGTTTTAGCCAATGCCTTCACTGCACTGCGGCTTTATTACTCCTCTCACAATAGACCATATTTATTTTCTGCTGGCAACCTTTGTGAAATCTATTCCATATTTGTTCGATTGCTACTTTTTCAATAGTAATACTATCTATAAATGAGTCTTCTCATAAATGAGTCTGGCTTTTATGTGTGTTTGTGTTGACATTGTTTTACATTGAGCAGAGGACAAGCAGAAGAAGAATAAACAGCAACAGGCAGAGAAGGCTGAAGCTGCAGGTAGTACCCTACAGCGCTCCAAGACCTTCGTCAGTCTGTTGTTCAAAAGCGGTCGCAGGAGAGACAGGTCTGCCTCTAGAGACAGGAAAGATACAGGGACGGGGGACAAGCGCAGAGGACGCTCCAAATCTCCTACACATAGTGAGCGGGGTGAGTGTCCACACAGTTGCACCGATAAAAATGTGAAGTATTGAATTGACTTAATTCAGATGTTTATTAATAATAATAATAATAATAATAATACTTTGTTTATAATATTGAATAAGAAAGGAAAAGTGAAAATATACATCTTCTCAACAACATAATTCTAAAATTATCACACACACATATTATCTAAGCCACTTATCCTTCTGGGTCACGGGGAGTGTTGGAGCCTATCCCAGCAGTCATTGGACAGAAGGCAGGAAACACCCTGGACAGGTCGCCAGTCCATTGTAGGGCTCTAAAAATATCAATAAAAGTATAAATGAAAACTAGACAAGGGAATTTCTGGAAGAAAATGCAAAGTGGTTGTTAGGATTGTTAAGATTAAGCAATTCCCATATGATTGCTTGGTTACTGATAGCTGGTTGCTGTAGTATTCCAGGTGGTTGCTGAGATGTTGCTAGGTGGTTGCTTTGGTGTTCCAGGTGGTTGCTAGTGCTTTGCTAGGTGGTTCCTACAGAATCCCATGGGGTTACTATCCCACATAGCTGCTAGGATGTTGCAAGTGTACTTATATTATGGTGACATAAGAGAGGTGCAAACACTTTTAGCCACATAGTTATTCCATTCATACCTGTCAGGAAAAATATAATTTATTAATTTAGCATTGTAGAAAACATGTTGTGTACATTCCTGGATACAGACAAAATCTGAATCTGTTTTATTTATTATCATTAATCATTAACTTGTATAAGGAGACTGTCTTAGTACTTGGTATATTCTACACTTAATCTTATGCATGCCTGTACATAAGTAAAAATAACATACACATATTGAAACAAATCATATATATATAAGATTAAGCACAGGCTTGTTGTGAAGAGTGAGTGTGAGGCTGGAGAGGCCGATTGCAGTGGAGGCGGCGCATTTGCACTTGAAAGCTGGCAGCATAACGAGGGCTTACGGAGACTGGCTCAGAGAGAGCTGCTTTGTTGTTAATTATGCAGTAATTCCTGTGGAGTGGCCTTGAGTTCGGCCCCAGTAGTTCTGCTCAGCTAATGATGAGTTACGTATTCACCATCTTTAATGTGATAAAGCCAGAATGCAACAAAACTAGCATCTAACATGGCCGGGGTTCTTCAGACTTTGAAATGAATCAACAAACCTATGTTAATCATAGATTTCTTTCAATTTTGTCCTTGCAACTTCAGAGAGGAAGTTTGGATCTAGAAGCAGAAGATGGGGTAAATGTGTATGTTTAGTCTGTTTGATGTCTGTGCTGTAGTTGTGGTTTCAGAAGTCCTCTGTAAAAGTGTTGTTAGATGCTCTACATTTCTAGTTTCTATTGTCTGACTTGCTGTACATATTTACATGGTTGAGTACTAAATACTAAATTTGAGTATAGTGGATAAAAAAATAAGTATTAAAGTATTTAAGCATGTCATTATTATTATTATTATTATTATTATTATTATTATTACTATTATGCATCAATGTCCATATCTGAAAATATTACTTACATATTTAATTTAGTCTTTTGGTCTCATGGAACTACTGATTCTCAACATAACAATAGAATATGTTCAAATAATCTGTGAACAAAAGTATAAAAATAACATAATAGAAAAAAATAAATTGATACTGTTATATATGTTATGTTAAGGTATAGTTCTACAAATTTTCACCACAATCTGTGGCATTATTCCTTGTCATACTGAATTTACTTGTTGGAACTAAAGGGCTTAATATTCTTATTACTATTAGGTATTATTTTGTCCCGTATATTGACTTTGTCTATAAATTACAGCAAGTCCCTGCATATTTCATGTGTAATCCTTAGCTCAATCAGATTACTGGATGTAACTAAGATGTGCTGAAGGTTCATGCCCTCTCAAATGGTTCTCATCAGTGCCATCAAAGACAAGGAGTCTTCAGGGTATTTCCTGGCGCTGTAATTAACTCCTGCTGTCATGTGCTTAGGTAAGGAGCGCAGTCGGCCCATCATTAGCCTCCTGAGCTCTCCTCGGGAGACGCGTGCTGGGATGTGGGAGCCTGCGCCCATGCCCAGTCCTGAGACCATGGCCATGGTGGAGGACATGGCTCGCAAACTGCTGAGTGAGGATGAGGTGGCTGCAGTCATGAGACACTGTAACAGGGTGAGTGTAAGCTGACTGTATGTGGAACATGTAGAAAGCCACTCTTCACTCACACACACACGCACAAACACACACACCTGTATAGAACCTCGTGAGCTAGGAGATACCAAAAAATCAGCAGTGCTTTGAAATGATCTTTAATCCTTAATCAACAGGTTCAGTACTGCACAACAAATAAGTTTTCACACAATTCAAATTGTAATATACCACCTCTTCTACATTGGATCACAAATGTGGTATCAGTTGAAAGTCTGCCCCTTAAACACAATTTATCTGTTTGTTTCAAAGAGCTGCAAGTGAGAAATAACACCAAATGACACATGCTTTTGCTGTCACTAACTCCAACTCCAAGAGTTGTTATCAACATTTCCCATTTTTAATGATCCCAAAAATGAACAGATATCCAATTTATTTCTATAGACCTCAAACATATCTCCCAAAGACAAACACTGGTATAGACAGAGCAATCTATCAGGGGAGGACAAAATTCTTATATCTTGCTAAGGTTTTATAAGGGATCAATATGTTGGCTGGCTGCTCTTATAAAATACATATATGCTCTTCAATTTATAACTAGGATTAAGTGTTCTGGATCATCTGATTTATGTGGCCATGCCACTTATACTGGACTCTCACAAAATATTAGCAGTCATTTTCTCCCACACACAATACTTCAGTCCAGCACTGTACTATATTTACAAAGCTTAAGAGGATGTTTCAGTACCTAAAGATACCTCTTTAAGGCTATATTAGTCCAAAAAGGAAGCCTGAGCCTTTAGCTAGAATCCCATCAAACACAAATATTTAATGATCTCTCAAAACAGCTATTATCCTGTAGTTTTTGTTGACTGTGTAATGTCTCCCACTGTTCATGGTCAGTTTGGATTCAGCCCAAAGTAACACAAGCAATGGCCTGTTTCTTCCCCCCTGTATCCTGCAGTTTTTGGCAGAGCGAGTGATTGAGGATCTGGTACGCCCTCTGCTGGCCATCCTCGACAGGCCTGAGAAGCTGCTGCTGCTGAGAGAGATCAGGTCAGGAGGGGAGGGAGGGTTGGGTTATGCTCGCTGACCTCAGGCTGCGGGCCGTTCTTTCAGAGACATGACAAATTACTTTTGTTACTTCTGTTGCATTACTTGTGTTATCAGGTTGACGTAGCATTTTCATTTGCACAGTGGGCTTATCTCTCTTTAAACTTTCCCATGTCTAGAATGATCATCCCTCCCACGGACTTGGGCCGGTTTGACAGCATGGTTATGCCTTTTGAACTGGAGGCCTATGACATTTTAAAGAGCCGCTCTGGTGAGAGAATCCCCTTCTGTACTATTAAAGTCTTCAGACATTCATTCTCATTCCAGAATTCAGCATGACTCAGAAATCATAATGCGTTTTCCTCTCACACTGTGACATATTTCAAAGTGAAACGTAGTATCAGGGAGGGTCTCTGAGCTAGCTGATCATTTTCACTTAATGGTAAGTGGAGGTGGTTGGTGGGGCAGGTGAAACAATGTTATTGGTTAATAGTTTTTTGCTCACCTGCTGGTGCACAACGACACAAAAAAAGACAAAGAGTCATTACATTTTGGCAGAATGTTATGGGAAAACAAGATTTTTATGATATGTAATCAGTTGTGTTTAATATGACCTAGGGCCTTAACAAACAAGGGAAAAAGGGTCACTTTTTTCATGAATGTCATGAAAAGAAATCGGATGCAGTTCTCTCTCTAGCTAGGTAACTAGGTGTAAATTATGTGACTAGAACCTTTTTTTTTGCATACTAAGATTCTCAGTTTCCGCATGCACATGCACTCACACAAATCAGAATCATGCCTTAAAAAGGCAAGCAAACCTAACATTTTCTCTTGAGAATGTGAACATGTAAGCAAAAAACACTTTCTTAGCTTTCTTTCGCTCTTTAGCTGTAAGCATACTGGGAACAATGCTAGCATTATAGCTTCCAAGCTAATATTACATAGGCAACTTTTTATAAAGTGATAGTTAATAATGATGGACAAATAAAAATACCATTCCAGTTTACATTCTGGTACACCCAGTAGTCATGTACTAGAGTTTAATGACTTCATCCTCAACTAAATGAGTGAAAAATTTCGTATAATGACAGCCCAAGCTTACATAAACACTCAGTACTCGCTGCAGTGTTACTGCAGCGAGTACTGCAGTGTTACTGTGTAGGAAGGCGTTTACTTGTTGTCTCTCATGACTTGGTTACATAAATGTGTTTTCTGCTTTCAGTCATTATTTGTATGTTAGCCCTACATGTATGGAATGAGTATGCGAGAAAATGTTGCTTTATTGAATTAGGTATATACGGCCGCCTACTGTCAAGTGGGTAGGGCAGCGTTCATAAGGTCGCATGACACCTACATGTCATCTGTCATAAGGCTGCTTTTGTCAACTTTGATGTAAAGGTAATATAACACCCGTGTCAGATGACAGATTTTTTTCTGACATTGAGTGAGGTCATGACACTTTTTTGGGTAAATGACATTATAATATGTAATATATAATATGTAATATATAATATAATACTCTTAATGTGACAAGTTTTATAAATTGTAAAATTAAACTCACTTTACCTACATGCCACAGAAAATATTCTCTTGTTCAACCAGCCTGACTTGGATCCTTGTGACGTGCACTGAGCTAGAAAAGGTCTGTCATTTCAGGTCATGAGACAACCTAATGTCAGAAGAAAATGCATGTCACTTGTCATAGATATTATTAACTTCACATCAGAGTTGGTAAAATCAACCTTGATGAAGAATGATGTCTGTTTGTCTGACTGCTTATGTGGGAGGTTGTCAGGTGCCATGACAGGCTTATAGTGGTCATGTAGTCTTATGATCACTGCCTTACAGTAAAGTGTTTAGCGTGTTTCAAAAGTGAGTGTGCTTAGGGACAGACCTATCAGTGACTCTCGTAGGCTGGTTCACAGGGCAGTCCAGCAAAAATACGCATTGCAGTATTCTGCTGGTAGAGTAGAGTTGTAATTAGAATTAGATGCTGTCTGATCTGTGGGCAGTGAGTGTATATTATTTTCTGAGTGTGTGTTTGTGTGTATGTCCTTAGTGCGCTCCCCGGCCCTGCGCTCCCCTCGCCATGGAGGAACCCCACGGCGCCATCTCATAACACCCATTCCAGGTAACTCTTTCCTCATGCTTTCCTCTCTGATCCTCTCTCATCTTCCTCACTGTGTAGTGTGCTCATTCTGATCCCACTGAGGAATTATATAACCACTGGCTTTACCCTCCTCCTCCCTGCTCCAGTCATTTCATACCCTGAAATGAATGTCTGACCATAAGAGCCACAGACTTACACTGCAAATATCTTGTTGCTGACATTTAATCCTCAACATCCACACACACACACACACACACACACACACACACACACACACACACGCACACACACACATATGTACACAATCCCACGCTCTCTAAACCCTCTCTAAGCCCTGGCTGTCAGACTCTGCCCCTCCCTCTCTGATGAGTTTGTGATGATGGGTTCGTTGTACAGAAATGAAAGTCATTCATAAGATGCCAGGCTGCATCACGGCCTGACTCGGGTCACACATCTCTGTCTGTGGAAATGGACAGCTGGACCCTGTCATGTAAATTTCCTTCCATGGTTGACCTCTGGTGTGACCCCTGGGCTGGTGACCTAAATTAGGCAGGCAAACGTTGATGCTGTGCTTGGCAGCGGTGAGCCAACACTTTTACTCTGGGCCCCTGAGTCTTGAACGAGAATCATTTCTGAAATACAAGAAAGGATCCCTGCATTGCTTAATCTTCGAAGACTGCCCACGCAGGTCTGGAGCTTATTGCTAGTCCTTTTTGTCCATTGTACTGGACACAGAGGAGTAATTCAAACCTCCCTGTGGCAGAGGCCCCTGAAATCTGAGCAAGGTTATGTGTGTGTGTGTGTGTGTGTGCATGTGTGCCCCAGCATCACAGCTCACTGTCTGTATACAAATGGCTTGAATCCTGTTTTTCTGTGCATAGATGATCATGAAGGTCAGCATACTTCAATCTCATTTCCTTTGTGTATTCTCTAATCTTTCCCTTGTTGATGAAACACTAGGGGTATCGGGCCTCTGTCACCTCATATGTTTACCCTAGTGAATCAGGTAGTCTTGAATGACCACGAACGAGTTCCTGGACACTTTGGTAGACATAAAAATTTAGACTTAAGTGAAGTATAAATGGGAACATGACACATTTTAATTCATAAAAATTTCTAGGGGCGTTCATAAATGTACATGTGATTTTGCCAAAAAAATATGATTTCCTCTCATTTTTGTAGATACAATTCACTTCAATTACAGATTAGATTTCTTTTGTATTTCCAGTATGGGATTGAGCTGATTGACCTCAAGCACATTTTTTCATGACCTTTTTTACTCTTCTTTACCAAGAGTGCCAATAATGACCACATTTCAAAATATACTACTACTACTACTAATGGATTTCTTGTAAGGTGATCAAATCTTGATATTGATAACTTGAAATTACTATAAGTTTCAGACAAGTTACAGATTATTATTTATCACATGACCTGTTTTCAAAATACATTAAATATTGATTTAACCATCTAAAAATGCCTTTCAGTGTCTAGTGTACAACATCCCCTTCCAAACAAAACACATACTATATATAATATTTAAACCTGCAGTGTGTAAGCCATTGTTAAATAAAATAACAAATGTTTGTATGATAAAAGACTCAGAATGTTTGGCCAGTAGTGTAAATTGGTATATTTGTGTATATATCAGTGACCTTAATGGCTCTGTCCTGCCTCAGACTACAGAGGAGGTTTCCAGCTGCAGGCTGTTCAGGATCTGGAGAGAGATCGGCAGTTGGTGGAGGAGCTGGAGCGACTGAGGATGGACACTATCCCCACCGGCCGGCTGCCCCCGCCCCGGGCCTTTACTCCTCTGCTGGATGTACCGGTGGACAGCTACATCTCAGGCTCCCTCCGGCAGCACTCCTTAAGTCCTGTTCGTCCTAACTGGCTACTTAGCGAGTCCTCTCACAGCACAGAGAGGCATGGGCGCTCCCCACAAAGACAGAGCAATGGTTCGCCCCGGACTGCACACCACGGGGATAACTCCTATAAGGGAGAAACCACTCCAGAGCGCGGGAGGTCACCTTACAGGAACGGCCACGGCAGAGCTGCGAATGGAAGAGAGGTGAAGTACACAGTGATGAGTGCACACAGGCGGAGCCGAACGCCGCTAATGCAGGTGTTTGAATCAGACACTATGCCAGACTCTGTGGGGAGGGAACAGGTAAATGGACACACTGGCTTACCAGCAAATGGTCAAGACAACCTGTCAGCACAGGAGTATGAGCTGACCACTGTCTCCATCTCCAAGACCAAACAGTCCCTGGGTGAGTCTACATAGGCATTCTCAAGTCATGTCAAAATAAACATTATCATCAAACTTTGTAATCATAGTTACAGTGGTATGCAAAAGTTTGGGCACCCCAGTCAAAGAATGTCTTCTTGGTTTTCTATGTAAAAATAAGTACACATAGAACACATTAATGCACATTTTAATGCACAGTGCTGGTTATTTGCTGATGAAATATTGGGGAAAAAAATAAAACATAAAAAGTTATGAAACATTTTATATTTATTTAATTTTTTCCTAATATTTCTAATAAGGTTCAGTAAATAAATTTACATCTGAAGTTTGTTCCTTGTAGAGGATGTGTTAACGTATTTTCACTTAAAAAATAACCTAATTTAATTTGAGCAAGGGTATTGAAACTTTTGCATACAGCTATATGTGTTGAATGAGCGATGATTTTTTTTACAGCCGTTACCGCAGTACAGAGAGTCAGTAAATACAAGAAACTATTCAGCACAGTATGCACTAAAAATATGCATATAAGTACAGGACAACAGACAGTAAGTGCATTCTCAATCTGTTTGGGTGTGAAGTTCTATGCATTTCATCTGTGTTAGTGAACTTTGTAGCACATTAATGGATGAACAATCACAACACTTATATTCCCACTGGGTTCATGATGCAAAGCATTCACTAAAACAACTGGTCTGTGGTGATCAACCCTAACATTCCACCACACCACTAGGGGTCAGTGAGTCACCCAGTGCAATCAGTGTCCTACAACATATTACAATAACAAGAAGGAGATGGCATAGTCAAACATTCTTTCATTGCATCATGTATCTGCTAAAATGTAGATACATGAACATCTAAAATTAAAGTCTTAGCTTCACAGGGATTGATGTGACTGTTTAATCTAAGATTTGTCATCAACCCGCATTTTCTGTCAGTGATGTCTCTCAGAGATAAAAATGGGCCAACATAGTGAGGTCTACTGTGTCTCTAGACAGCCAATGGATGGATGTCATTATGAGAAAGCTTCAATGAAACATAATCTCCTCCAATAGGAAACACTGTCTGGCTCCCAGCAGCACTCTGCTATGCGGAACAGTGGCAGAAGCAGGCATTCATTACTTTCCCACTGTATTGTATTATTTACTCTAAGCAGCTCAGTCATGCAATCAGACCAGTTTTTGCTCAATCCCTGGAATGAAAGGATCAAATATGCTTCCAAATACAGATGGCTTGGATTCAAAACCTCTTTTTCCTGTACACATCTAAATAATGCTACCGAGAGCACTTAATGGTAGGTTGGGATAATTTAGGAACGTGCTGGCACAGTTCTGGGTGAGCAGCACAACTGTCAGTGATGAAAACTGACCACTGAATTTAAGGCTTTGGTTTATGCATCTCAGAGCAAAAAATTGACATATATTATGTCATTGCTGTCATATCAAAACCATGTACAGTTGCATGCTTTGCTGGTTTTCTAAGTGAAAATAGGCTAATACTCTACAGGAAGCTTATGTAAATATGGCATTTTTCTGCATTTTGCATATTTGTTTATCACATCGTTTTATATAAATTTCTTAATACCATATAAAATGTACCGGATTTTGTGCCACATTTTGTTTAGATGATGTGTACTTATTTTCACTTAAAAAAACATAATTTGACCAGGGGCACCCAAACTTTTGCAAACGACTGTAGCTCCATTTCTTTTTTATTTTATGTCTACATCAAAGCAGCTGCACTTATATGAACATTTTCTGATGAATGGGCCAATAGAAATGGTCCAAAATGACCTGGAATAACATTTCATTGCATTAACTCACAGTTAAATTAAGAATATGTTTACTTTTCTTGTAAAGTTACCATTTTTGGTAATACATGGTTTTATTCTGACGATATAGTGTTTCACTCTCTCTACTGCTTCTGGCAGGTATAAGCATTTCTGGTGGGATGGAGTCCAAGGTTCAGCCAGTGGTGAAGATAGAGAAGATATTTCCAGGAGGAGCTGCTTCCACTAGTGAGGTGCTGAAGGTACTGGACCCACTTCATTTACTATCTGATCTCATCTACATGCAAAGTGTACAGCAGGTGCAACACACACCACGGGCCCTATTAAGACTATCACATAACACAATATATGGCGCCTGCTTTGCAGCTACATCAACCTGATATGGGCATTATCTATCAGTTCCCCCCCTCTTTAGTACGACTTTCTAAAACTCATGAAAAACCGAAAGGGATGTTTTGCCTTCTTAAAAAAATAAAGAAGATGCTCACCACCAATTATAAGCTTTAATACAATTAGTTACCAGCTTATCAGGTACGTCTAGCATATTGGTGCACTTTATAACAGGGGCGTGGCTACATGTGTGGCACAGGGTGGTAGCTGCTACTCTTGAAATAAGCCTTGACACCCCACTTACTATCCTAACTCTGACATCAAAATAAACAATATAATTACATCAAATATAAACACTTACATTGGTATGATTTAAATACATGTATTTTGATTTAGGGTCTATCTGCATATGTTTGTTATTTTGATGTAAAAGCGCTCATTTTCACAATATATCCTACGAAACACACACTAAAGCTATCTAATTAAAGAAACATCCTTTATCAATGTGAAAGCTAGCTAGCATTAGCTCAGTTAGTATAACATTTATATTAATAATCATGGACATGATCTTGGAGAAAACTACATCATTCTGTACAGCTGTAGATTATTCAATATGTTTGGCCGCTTACAGAAATAAATTATAACAACATAGGCACAAATAATCTACATGACTAGTTAGTTACCTGACCAACATTAGCCTTGCCAAAGCTAGCTAATTTAATTATTTTATGCTTAAAACTGCAGATTAATTCGACACAGTCATTGTAAGTTAAGTCATTGTTTACATGCAATATTTGAAAAGCATGTATTCATTTTCTTGTGTTCTTTCCTTTGCTGTATGGAAATGAAAAGCTCAAATCAAATGAAAAGAAAGGGAATCATTTTCAGATTTCCTCCTAAGAAAAAAAAGAATCAGAGTAAATGTGTATAAATGTTGAAGAGGAGGCAGAGAAAAGGACACAGCCCTAGTGGATGGAAAGGAGGATGAGGGGGTTGCTGCTGTTCCATGTTATGACACCCTGCCAGGCCTGCTGTCAGCCATACACTAGTGGTTTTCTCTCTCCCCTTGTTGAATGAATTTACTTTGAAACATGACAGTAAAGACCTGAGCTGTAAGCTGATGGGTCCAGTAATGACCTCTGGCTGAAGGCCTTTTGACTGTTGCTGTTGAGATGTAGGCTGTTGTGGTTATTAGTGTCATGTGAGCTGAGCACAGACGCATTTTTCGTGGTCTTAGGTGGCACAGCTTGTCCATGATTGATGAGCTTACACTGACCAGGCCAATGTCCTGCTTTGTGACAGGTGCTCTAAGCAAGTACTCCTTGCAAGCAAACTTTCTTCATAAGCAGATATAAAGATATGATACGCCTGACTTTCTCTCACATACTTCTGCACACATTCTTGTGTAACACAATCTGTGCAAAAGTTATTAGTCACTATATGATATATTCTCATATATGATTCAACCGTTAATGAATTTGGTGAGTTCTCTAAATAATATGGACTACAGTACAGTCAGACTCTCTTGCATTAATCTTGCTGGATTATTAGCAGTTTATTAGCTCCCACAAACTTAGGTTACCACAGGTTCCTGACACCAGCAGCATCACCACACTGACCCTGGAAGCTAGGTCAAACCCTCGGAATCCCAAGCACATAGGTATGTGTGTGTGCTTTGAAAGCAGATTATCAGGTGTTGGCATTTCCCTGCTCTGCTCTGAGAGACTCATGTTGCACTCACTCAAGAGATCCAATGTCCATCTCCACGTAGTTCGGTTTCCACAGACTCCTCTTGCCCTCTGGCATGCGTCAAGACCTGAAGGAAAAGGTCAATAATATGTATGTGTTTGTTTGCATTGGTACATTTTCAGGACAAAAATGTAGTGGCTTTGTAGGACCAGACAGGGGTAATCTACATCTAATCTAATCTGTCAGCATCAATAACATGCTCTTGACATTGTATAGTACTTTTCTAAAAACAAAAATCAGTTTTAAAACAAAGGTCAGAAAAATTTATTTTTGGTTAATATTAGGGTTAGATTTCAGGTTAAGCTTAGAAAGTTCACTAACAAAGTGCACTTACAAAAATATTAGAACAAAGATAAATACACAATCCATTACGATTTTATATCTACAAGATTGTCAGCTTAATCATTCCCAAAGCTCTCCTCAAGGAAGTCCAGTATTTACAGTTACTATCTAATACCTAGTTTATCTAATCAATCCTTCATTAAATTAATTTAGGTGTGCTGTTGATGGATTTTAACAAATCCATGTAATGACTTGAGAGCAGTGTGAAGTCAGAAGCCAAACTTTTCTTCTAACGGTTTTCTTCTAAATAATATAATTAATAAGCTTTTTAAAAACAAAAAACATGCTACCTTCTGCTGTAGGTATGCTTATTTGTATTTATTTTCATGTTCTGTAGAGTTTTTACAGGCAAACAATGCCAAAAAAATGACACATAAAACTTGAAACGCTTACATATAAAATAGTTTTTAAAAACTAAAGGCTTTAAGACTTTTGCACAGTAATATACAGTGGTGTCCAAAGGTATAAGACCACTTGTGAAAATCTGAGATTTTCTTTTTTCATTTAAACCTGGAAAAAAGAAAAGAAAGTTTTAACAAATAAAATGAAGAATAAATATTCATGATTCTTCAGTATTTCTAGGTCTCTGCTTATTTAATTTTAAGCAAATTTGTGAACATGTCAAGACTTTTGTACAAAAAGGCCAGTTTTGTTTTGTTCAAACTGTTAGGTGGTTTTGATTTACTCCTCAAACACTTTTGCACAAACGTGTGGAGTCCAGCCTGAGTTCATGCTGTCATTAAAGCAAATGGGGAACAAAGAAATTTTGTATACTAAGAATTTATCTCAAATTATTAAGCTGATAATATAATATGTAATGAATTTTTTTTTTTAAATGATTCTTAAATTTAGGGCGTGTTAGCGCGATGGGTAGCGCCATCGCCTCACAGCAAGAAGGGCCTGTGTTTGATTCCTGGCCGGGTGACCAGGGTCCTTTTTGTGTGGAGTTTGAATGTTCTCCCCGTGTCTGCGTGTGTTTCCTCCCACAGTCCAAAGACATACAGTTGCGCCAATTGGACATGCTAAATTGCCCCTATGTTTGAGTGTTTGTGTGAATGTATTTGTCTGTGTGTCTGCCCTGCGATGGACTGGCAACCTGTCCAGGGTGTATCCTGCCTTCCGCCCGATGGGAACTGCTGGGATAGGCTCTAGCTCCCCCTGCGACCCAGGAGGATAAGCAGCAAAGAAAATGTGTGTGTGTGTGTGTGTGTATGTGTTCTTAAATTAAAAAAAAGAATGCAAAACAGCAGCTTTTTCACTAGTGGTCTCAGATTTTTGGACCCCACTGTATGTATAATAGACATTTGACATGTGAGTATAACCCCCTGTCCCGACACTATAACAATAAATGTGTGTCCGTTCGTGCATATGTGTTTTAACACACAGCAGCTGATACATCACTCACTCTCACACCTTCAGGCCAAAGAATGTTATGACCACTCCAGAGGTGCTATCTGTTGTGCACTCTGTGGTTGTCCCCATGTCTGAGTGCTGTAGAAGTGTGAGTTATTGGAGTGTGTGATTAAAACACTTCCTGCTGATAACGGTGTTATGAGTTTGGCTAAAGCAGGTCAGCCTCAGTGGTCTACTGCCACTACTGTCACAATCCTGAAATTTTAGATGACAATTAATTGTTTATTTTGTTAATTGCATGTAACAATTAAAGTGCAAGTCTAAAGTGCCCAAATTAGCTGAGTAGCCATCATACTTCCTAGCTATGTTTATTTAGTAGCTAGCACTACTAAGTCAGTGATATACTACACTGTTGTGTGTGTGCACTCAAACAAATGTCTAGTTAAACAGAATCAGGTATACAGTCAAGCAAAGCTACTTCTTTGAGTTAAAGTATAAACAAATAACAAACACTTGTTATGCTAGCATACATGCTAAAAGTGTTAGATTTAGCTACATAGCTAATAAATAATCAAACAAAACATGTGGCCCAGCCTCCTAATCACTGAGTTCTGGTGTTTGAACCACATCCATTGCTAACAGGGGTATAAAATCAAGCGCATAGCCATACATCTCCACAGATAAACACTGGCAGTAGAACTTTAAACTTGGCCTTCTCATAGGATAACACCTTTGCAATAAGTCAGTTTGTGAAATGTCTGTGCTGCTAGATCTGCCCCAGTCAAACTGCCCCAGTCAAACTATTGTGAAGTGGAAGCATCTAAGAGCAACAATAGCTCAGCCATGAAGCATTAGACCATGCAAACTCATAGAGCGGGGAGGCCGAGTGCTGAAGTGCGTAGCACTTAGAAATCACCTATCCTTTGTTAAATCACTCACTACAAAGCTCTAAACTGCATTTGGAAGAAACATCAGCACTAGAACTGCATCAGGATGTTCATGAAATGGGTTTCCATGGCTGAGCAGCTGCACACAAGCCTAAGATCTATGCGCAATGCCAGGCGTCGGCTGGAGTGGTGTAAAGCAGGCCACTGGACTCTGGAGCAGTGGAAACATGTTCTGGAGTGATGAATCACACTTCACTATCTGGCAGTCTGATGGACAAATCTAGGTTTGGCGGATACCAGGAGAACGTTACCTACTGGAATGTATAGTCAATCAGTCAATCAATCAATTTTTATTTTGACTTGGAAGTACATTGAGGGTGACCCTCATTTACAATGTAGCCGAGCAAATCACAAAGGGATTGAAAATGCTGAAATGAAGTTTATCAATTAAAACAAATGAAAATGAGCAAGACTAAATAAATAAATAAATAAATAAATAAATAACAAACAACTCAAAAAGGAAACAGGCATAAAATATCAAAAATTATATAATGAAAATGCATTAAAATGAAGTAAAAGAACCAACTTAGATAATAAGCAATAAGAAAACTACAATTTTAGAGAAAAAATTATTTACTAGAACAAATTATTTACTAGAACCTAAAAGTAAAACAATTAACATTGAATAAACAGTTATAAAAAAAATAGTGAGATAAAATGTATGTAAACTCAACTAACACAGTTGCCAGCTATATGAAGATAGTTAGAGACTAAAAGTTTCAAATGATTGAGTGACACCAGCAAGTTGAGTTTTAGATACTTTTGTAGTGGATTCCAGCTCACTGGTTCTCTGTAGTTAAAAGCAGATTTTTCTAGTCAGTAAAAACTCCAGGTACTTGACAGGTGATCCAGTCATAGTGCCAGCTGTAAAGTTTGGTGGAGAAGACACGATGGTCTGGGGCTGTTTTTCAGGGTCTGGGCTCGGCCCTTTAGTTCCAGTGAAGTGTTCTCATGAGCCCCATGATTTATCTCAATTAATGCATTTATTGCTTTCTTTTATTTACATTTACTTGCCTATTAAACATTTTGCTTGTTGCGGTATAATACAATAGTGAAATCTGATAATTGTGGAAAGCGACTGCAGACAGCTTCAATAATTGTGATCATCTGAATTGGTGTGATTAGGGGATTATGTAAAAATTGTGACAGGCCCACTTGCCACACCTTTGGGATCTGCAGGCCCAGACTTTTATCACATGTGCCCTGAACACAGAAGGTTAAGAGAGGCCCAGCAGTAGCCAGGCACACTTAGGGCTCTTCCTAGTTTATAATCCTTTTTACTGAGCTTTCTGCATTGCTCTCCTACCTCCCAGAGGACACGACACTCTTCTCTCTCCATCCTCTGACTCAGTGTAATTAGCTGGCTTAGTTTTAATTAAGACATAAGACATGAAACGCTGTTCTATATCATGAATATGGTTTCTGTGAAGAGCTGCTACTGATGCTACCATTGCTGCACCTCTCCCCATCTCCAAAACACACACAATTCAAATATTATACATTGAATTTTCTGGTAACTGTGGATTTACAAATGCTTGGCAGTTTTCCTGTTAATGAGGACGAAGCATGAGGTTTATATTTAAAACTACGCTATAAATGCAGGGTTGCTATAACCTGCCTAGTGTAAATGGCACTGAGACTACAGACCAAATCTAACAAATTAAACAAATCTGTGGCTCTTAAATGGCCAAAAAGAGGGTAAACCAGATTATACTGCATTTAGTTTAATGGTTTTGAGCTTAAGTGCTTCATTTGAGCTGCTTTATAGGTAAGTGGATCCAAATATGCTGAAATTCATGTCAGGGGCTTAAATTCCAGCTATAAGTAGTACACCGAGAGTGAAAGTTAAAATGCTGGCTGATTTGGAATGTGAATACAAATTAATGAGATTTAGAGCTGTTCAGTTATTGATATGAATACATGATATTAAGTGACTACTATGAATTATTCAGAGCTGATGTTGTACTACTATGAAACTAATATGTATGTAGTTATGAGAGTGAGGAATTGAAATGTGAGCCCACCTAATATGTTATATTTATCTCAGGAGAAACACTGTAATGTTGTGTCATTGTAGGTCTTTCTTGAAGCTTTAATTTGTCTTGTCTATGGAGACGAAGTGCTTTGTTCTAGCTGAGCGAAGCACAGCTATGAAAACACCTCTAATCGTCATGAATGGGTGCCGGGACTTTTCCACACAGATGTATCCTGGTAGCAGGCGATGACGGAGGATGTGATTTCAGTTCTGGTCTTCTTGATGGTGTGTTTGTGCACAGTTGCTAATTACTGTACAATATTTTCCCATCAGGAAACATAAGTAAGCGTCCCAAAGTGGAACCTCTTGCACATGTGTATGAGTACATGTTTAAGTGTGTGACCTTGAGCTGAGGGTGGTCCCCGTCTCCACAGCCCTGGTGTAAATCAGCAGGTTTGTGAGGAACAGATTTATAGAGCTGCTGGATGTACAGGAACAGCATGGAAAATACGGAGAGACTGAGTAGCTGCATGAGTTCATCAATATCTGTGACATGAAAATGAATTGATTAAAATCATCATCTGTTCAGGAACTCCTAAGACTCCAAGACTTGCTGTTTCACTGGAGTGTAAATTTGACACAAATTCCACTATTCATTCATCAACATTGGAAAGAATACACAAATGAGATGAGACGAAAGTGAGTTGCCCTTCATAAATCAGGCAATGGCAGGACGTATGTTTATTTTACTCCCATGCACAGTGAGGAGGTTCGGAAGAGAGGCAACCATTTCTCCAAGGTCACAATTTTGCAGAACATGGTAGCATATTGGGGTCTCCAAAACCACAATCAAACAGCACCTCCATGCCAACAAACTAATCAGAAGGTTTGACAGAGGAAAGCCTTTTCTCTCATCCAACCACAGATGTAAATGCCTGAAGTTTGTTAGATGCTACTTGACTGGAAACGGGTTCTGTAGTCAGACAAAAATAGAACTTTTTGGCAAAAAACCGTCAAGGTGGGTTTGGCATAAAAGAAGGATGGTTATACAGAAAAATAACTCATCCCCACTGATTAAATATGGAGGAGGATCTGTGCTGTTACATGGCATCAAGGACTTCATGAGGCACCAGGAGATTTTAAATAAAAATCTGGCAAAAAGCTAAAACTGGCTTGTGGTTCAATCTTTCAGCAGGACAGTGATCCAAAACATATGTCCAAATCCACACAAAAATTGATCACATGACCACAGTCAAGCTTTGATATGGCCATCCCAGTGCCCTGACCAAAATTCTATTGAAAACCTGTGGGGTGAGCTGTGAGAGAACTTGGACCCTGGAGGATCTGAAGAGATTCTGTCTTGAGGAGTGGTCTCAGATTTTCCAATGTCAGTGAGTATTATAGGAGAAGACACATTGCTGTTGTGTTGGCAAAGAGGGGTTGCACAAATAACAAAATGCAGGGGTGCCAATAATTTTGCCACATGGTTTTGTTACAAAAAAATTGATGAGTTTCTTTGACTAAACTTAGATTTTAGATTAGATTTCTCTCATATATTCAGTGTGAAATTGGCTTAATTAACCACATGACCTTTTATACCCATCTTTTGCAAGGTTACCAATAGTTATGGAGCTGCCTGTATAAATCTGCTTAGTCTTAATTTATCCAGAGAACATGTACATCCAGAGATCTTTAGAGGTTCATACCGGTAGGTTTAGACAATAAAACCCATCCTGGTGAGCCGTCGTCCACCACATCTGTGTTTTGTCTGCTATTGGTTACTGTTGTTGCAGGTAAAACACTTGTGTCTGGAGTAACATAACAGGAGATGATGTCATTCTCTGGCAGCAACATGCAGCTTCTGAGGCAGGTTGGATGAGCTCATTCGTAGGTACTGAAGAAAGAGAACAAAGGAAGTGAGCAGCAGTCCCTGCCCGAAACATCTGTCTATCCTGCCATTCATCCAGCATTCACCTTTAATGCCCCAGAAATATGCAGGGGTTCATGTGCAGTCACCAAAGAAGATAGAACAGCAGTAGAACAAGTGAGTGAAAACAAATCAGAACTGACCTCTCCCTCTTTTTCTGCATGTCTGCTTATAGGCTGGATTCGAGCTTGTGTCAGTTGATGGAGAATCCCTCCAGGGAGTCACACATCAGCATGCAGTGGACGCCATAAGAAGGGCTTTCAGCAACAAGGCCAAAGACCCCATGGAGTTTGTCGTCAAAGTCCCGAAAAATCCAAAAGACTGAGGGAGAAATGTACTTTACTGTGCTGTACAGACAAATTGGACTTCTAGAGATTTGTGCTCACTGTGGTAAGTCTGAACAAAGAACAGAGAACAAGAAAGAATGTATCCTATACAAAATCTATAGGATAGAACCTATAGAAAAAAGCAAAGCTGCCATTGTATAATGCTAACCAGTTGGCTGAACCAGTTTACCCAAGGGTGAGGTTCCTGAGAGGACTTCCATAGAGCGCTTCTGACCAGACCAGTTCCTTTTTCTGCTTCCTTTATCATTTTTATACCGTAGTTTAATAATTGTTAGGCTATTTGTGCAAATATCTCTATCTGCCACATTTGTGGCATAGATTTAGTTACCACAATGATTTCAGCACATCTTCCTGTACTTAATATAAGAACACAAAACCCATCAAGTAGGAACACATATAATAGTAGCCAATAGGCAGATGCTTGTCCATGGTAACTGACAGTGTAGTACAGATGCAGCAGAGAGGACTTATGTTGAAAGTATTCCTTTGATAGCATTACTAATAGTTTTTAAGAATTTGCACATACAACATTCTTTCCAGATTCCAATATCTCTTCTTCATTCCACACCAGTGAGAGGTTAGCAACTCTAAATAAATACGAGGCAGTGAGGGTTTGTGTCTAAATTTGGTCGTAGCTTATGCTTCAGCCAGTGTAATGTGATAAGAAGCATGTTGGCATGGTGATAATCTAAGTCATAACACTAGCACTCATCCCGGCAAGGAGAGGGAGTGAAGAGTTCTGGAGCTCTCCCGCCCATGCATAACAGAGACTGAACAAGGTTATGAGATTTACACTCAGATTAAGTCTCTGTATTATGTCAAACTTGATGTTTTGATTAAGTGAATGTCTAGCAGATTATTGCAAATCGCAGCCTATTTCAATCTCTCCTTTTTCGTCTCTTAAGCCAGTCCTTTAAGGATGTGGTGAGGAGACTCGTGCAAGGCTTCATCTGCCTTGGTCTGTGAGTTTCCAAAGCTGAACACTTGGGTCATTATGAGATTATGTTACATCTTTGCAGAGTGCCTTACATCTGTGCATTAACAGTGCAGTAGACCAACAGGATCTGAAAAGCTTGCAGGGTCAAGAACAGGTACTGAGTTTTTCCATTATAAACATGATAGGCCCCACTGTCGTTCAGAGAGGGCACATGTTTGGCAAATGTTTTTACAACTGATTTTATTACAAAAGTCCTGTGTGATTATTCCATAATAAAAATAAAACTGAAATACTGTCTCTTGTCACCATGTTCTTTCAATGGTGTGCTTCTTAGATGTGTCTTCATTTGTTAAAGTCTCCTGACAAGTTAAATTATAAAAATAATGCAAGCAAAAGCTAACACTTTACTTAAACCCTGCTACAGAACATTGACATAACCATGCCATAAACATACTATGGCAAATGTCATATGCTGTCATGAGTTGTCATGACGTATTATGTACAGTTATGATATTATGTCATAGATACTTTTTGCTGCATACACTAGCTCTAATAACGTGAAATATTACACCATTTGTCACGACAATTTACAGTAATAATAAAACAGTAACGTGCCACTGTTTTATTACTGGACATTAGGCTTGGGTGATATCTAAAATAATTTGCATAAGATTTCCAAGTTAAAACAATTGCAATTATGAACCCAATTAAAAATTTTTGAACCAAATAGTAAAAAAAAATTAAATAAATAAATTACTAAATAATACAGTACTGAGTAATACAACATATTCTGAAAACTACTTCACCTTTTTTAATAAATGTTATTAAAAAAAAACGTGCATTCATGAGCTCCTTCTGGTGTAGGTTCATGACTTGCGTGCTAATAGTGCCCCTTGCAGGAGAAACTCCAGACTGCAAGAAATTTCCAAGGCCATGCCCACATGACGATTTTCCGTTGTCATTGCGGAGTCGCTCTGGAACTCAGCTACAGGTGCATTTGAATATCCATGTAGTATTATATTTTCAGAATTTAACTAACCATTTGGACACTTAAGCTGTAAGAAAAATGCTGCAAATTTTTCACAGACGATAAATCACTCTGGGAAGCGGAGACCATGGGGAATTTATTCCTCTGTTGCTTAATGTCTTTTAAGCGCCCATAAAAACCCAGTTTTTTAACAGTAAAAGTACTAAATTAGTCCTGTCTAATTCTCTTTCAGTTTTCTTTCTCAACACAGTGATTTTCACTTTTTAAGCATCATCAGGTTACTTTTCATTCACTGCCAATATCTGATTACATGTCACAACTAACCATGACAGTTTATGACAGCATATGACATCTGTGGAATAGTAACAATAGCAGCAATAATCACTCTGACTTGTGACTTCTTGTTTTTTTAATTAAAAACACAGTTTCTTTACAAGAAATGTACAGCATGAAATATACATGAGTGACTACAAACACCATGAATCGACAAAGGAAACACAACAAACATACATGAAGAAAAGACAAATTAAAACAAATATGTTACTTTGCTTTGGTCTATTCACAGTGGCTACACCTTTGAGATAGATACTTTCGTCTGCATATAGACTAGAATATGTCACTGTATACAATGTTAGGAATATTTACATGTGTGTTTTAGTCATGACTATGATACAGTAATGAATGGAAGAACAAAAAGCACTAAAAATGAAGGAGGACCTTCTGTTTTGCGCACTCTCTAATCCTGTGCAGTGGGACAGTGCTGCTATATAACTGAAGAAGCCTACAACAAAGTTAACAGTCTGATCAGGTTGAGAGCACCTATTTTCCCTCGTCCAATCTCAGCGCTTCTTTGTCTGAACAGAAATACAAGTCTTAGGCAGTGTGGATGTAGAGCTACATTTAGACTGTGGTTAACATAAGAATTTACTGAATGAAAGGTTTCACGGTGAGGATATGACCAGACCTGCAATTCTGAGTAAACTAGCAGAACAAGAACATTCTGATTAATGCTGGTCTGTTTGGCTGTTTGGAACAGAGACTATACATACATTATGATGCAAGTGAAGCAGCTATGCTAAAGTGGTATAAGGGAGAGTCAGTTGCGATGAGCAGTAAGGTTCAGCACAATGACTGATCTGCTTCTAATATATATGATGAAAAACCAAACAATCTTTTAACATAATAATTTTTATGAAAGTCTAGAAAACACTAAATAAGCAGTGTTTGTGGCATGTAACATTTGGCACTTTAAAAAAATTCAAATTTTGTTTATTTATTTTTTCAGTCAGCTTGGTCTAATGTCAAAAACCATAACAGAAAAATGCATATTTTGATAATGCATGAAATCTACTGTAGAACTGTGAGCAGTCACTGAAAAGTACCTTATGAAGTGCTGATGGCAAATGATCCCTCCACTGGAATATTTGTTACAGGATATGAGATAGAGGACTGGTAAACCCACAAAGTAACCTGTGTTACCACAAAATAGCTTGAGGCGCTATGTATATATATATATATATATATATATATATATGTATATGTATAAAAATATACATTATATATATTCAATATTCCATTCACATTTATTTTAAAGAGTCTGTTCTCTAAAAACAACAAAGTTTATATAGTGTATATATGGATATATCCCTTCTTTTGTGACCACAAATATTTGATTAGTATTTGGGAAACTGTAGTTGATATTTATGCATACATGATCTATGCTACTAATATGAGCAGTGGCCCCACCCACTGTGGGAGAAGTCACTGCTGACTGGAGCAGTATGTGACCTTTGTGATGTCTTATTTAGACATCGCATCTCTAGAGAGATCACTATAAATACGATCTCCAGACAGAATGCTACTGTACCATGCACACATGCTATTCACTCTACATTGCGTGTGCACTGCAGTGTTTTGCACTATTTTGCATTACATTAGGGTCTGAAGAAAAGACAGGCAAAAAATAGAATTTGGCTGTGTTTTTAGACATCTACTTAGAAAAATAGTACTTCTAGATAAAGTGATTAGTATCTGGATGCTGAGGAACCAGTGAGCATTGAGAGAATAGGAAAGATGTTATTCTCTGGATTTGTGCTGGGCCCCTATATGATAACAGCTATCAATAGGGCCTCATGACACATTAGATGCCTTAGCAACTGGTGAGAAAAACTCCAAGAGTTAATGCACTAACTGCAGTAAGTGTCCTGATTTGACTTCCACTCCAATATTCAGTACAGCAACTGTAGGGTTTTCCCTGGATGTCGCTTAAGAGTTCCATGACATCAATATTAATGCCAGTACAGAGAAGTCCATTAGTGCAGGTTCCCCTCTCCTATTAGTGCCGTTACTGTGTCCAAACACAGAACATGATATGAGTCCATTACACGATATGAAGAACTGCAGATCCAGACTGAGTGGCAGTAGAGCAAACAGGAGAATAGCCATGTCATTCTGAAACTCTACCCAAGAAAACAGCGGATCTTCCTGTTTCTCTGGTCCAGGACTGACTCCAACACTGACTCATTTCTCACTCTGAACATGCGTGCATTAACATGCTTGGAAAGCGGATTTGTTGGGAAATACTGTTGAGGACTATTTAGCCTATATATCCGTAACACTGGTACAGCTCTGGAAAAGCATGGTCCCTGTTTTTGCATTTGCTGTGGCGATCTGTCTTTAAGGACAATCTAAGGCAGAGGTGTCAAACTCGGGTCCTGGCGAGATTAGTACTTTCCCCTTTTTTCACACTGAATTCAACTAATAAAGACCTTGATAATATGTATTGAATCAGGCGTGTTACAGGCAGGAAGCAGAACAGTAAACTCTGCAATGTTGTGGCCCTCCAGGACTGAAGTCTGACACCCCTGATCTGAGAGGTCAGTGTGATGGGGGGAAGGGTTAGATGTGTGCTAAATCTCAGTGGCTGTGATCTCCTCAAAGTGGATGTCATTGTTACGCATGTCGAATTCCTCCATGTCCCTGTTCTCCAGCTCCAGACTCAGCTCCCTCATGACTCGCTCAAGCTCACGGTTGCGCCTGTACATCTGGATGTAGTTCTGCTGCAGCTGCTTCTGATAGCGGATCACCTTGTCCTTCTCCTCCTGCCACACGTGCCGCTCCTCGTCAAAGGCCTCCAG